ATATATATATATATATATATATATATATATATATATATATATGCAGCGACGCTGTCGTTGGGTCTGCACTCTGCTCTTTGTGTTGTACCGTTGTTGTCGACTCTCATCCACTTATCTTGTACGATTCTTTCTCTCTTGTACGGACCTTGCAAAAGTAAAACGGCAGCAACAAGGCACGTCTAATGTGGCACGGACGGTGAACAGGTTACGCAACAGTGCTCACTTATGCATTAGCGGGGCAAGTGGAAGAGCACGTGCTCCGAGGTCGTTTGCGCATCTGTAAAGTAGACTCCCATCATGAAACCGTACAACCAACGCGATGAGACCCGCGTTTGATAGTGAAGAGGCCTCTTCGCCAATACGGTTCCTTTTTTCTCTTCGGATTGTCTTCACACCATTTCTACCTTGGTTCCCCCCTCTCCCACTACTTTTCCTTTTCTGCACGTCTACCTCTCATGCGCCTCTCCTCTCCTCTCCCCGACTTCACTAACTTGTGTAGGTGTCGCAGCCAACTTCATTACATCACGTAAGTCAAATTTCCACTCATCTCCTGAAAAGACATAAAACACACGCAAACTAAACAAACAAAAAGGAAGGTACGTAGCTGCCCGGCGCATTGCTCATTGGTGAACACCCACACGCACACCGGCACCTCACAACACTGCTCATTTTCCCGGAAAAGGAAACTGCCGCTTTCTTATACTACGCAGCTTCGTTTTCTCCCTTATTATTATTATTGCTTTTTGAAACTGCCCGCCTCTTTTTACCGTGGCTCGGGACGAGGAAGGTAAACACATAAACTGCATCCCTCAAAGCCGAACAACAAAACAGCAGCAACAACAGAAATGAGTCTCCACTTGGTGGAAGAAGATGGTCACCTTCAGCCGGAGAAGAAGCTGACGGAGTACCTCGCCTCACTCGTTACACCCGCAGGCTCGCAGGGATCCGCCAACGGCGACAACGATGACGACAACGCGTTGTCCGCGGTCGGCCTCAACTACCATGTGGTGGCTGTCTTTGGTGGCCAAAGCAGCGGCAAATCGACCCTGCTGAACCACCTCTTCGGCACCGACTTCCAAATGCTCGACGAGCGGGTACGTCGCGGCCAAACGACCGTTGGCGCCTTCATGGCGCAGGCTAATACAACGTTGTCTGGGTTCGAGACGGCGGACCTGGTGAGCCCTGCGGCCGACCTCGCATCGCCGTCCCCTGACCGCAGCTCCCGCCTGAACCGTGCTGCGGCAGCGGCGACGAAGGAGGAGGAGGCGGGCGCCGCCGCAGCGGGTGCGCGGCCCACCAAATCTCCGCTGCTGGTGCTGGATTTCGAGGGCACGGACGGCCTCGAGCGAGGCGAGGACCAAAGTCTGGACCGCCAGCTCTCTCTCTTCGGCCTGAGCGTTGCCGACACGCTCATTGTCAACATGTGGGCCGTTGACGTGGGCCGCTTCCACGGCGCCAACCTGAGCCTGCTGCGGACCATCTTTGAAGTGAATTTGCAGCTTTTCAACCACGAAAACTACGAGGCGGAGGAGAAGCCGACGCTGCTCATCGTGCTGCGCGACTTTACGGAGGAGGACGCGGCGCCGAGTCTGGCCACGGTGCGTAAATCCTTCGACACAATCTGGGAGAGTGTCACCCGTCCCCCGCAGTTCGCCGACGCCACCATCGACGCTCTCTTTCACCTAAAGTATTATGTGATGCCGCACTTCAAGCTGCAAAAAGAGGCCTTCGCAGCCTCCGTGGGGACGCTGCGGCGTTGGTTTGGGGACAGCCACAGCGAGAACTACCTGTTTCGTCATCCCGCCATGTTTCGCGGGGTGCCTCTTGAAGGGCTGCCGACCTACCTGACGAACTGCTGGGAGGCGATTCGTACCAGCAAGGACTTGGACATTCCCACGCAGCGGGAGATGCTGGCCCAGCACCGGTGCAAGGAGGCGAAGGAGCAGGAGTTGAAAACCTTCCGCGGCTTCACTCGGCACTACGAGGACCGGCTGCAAAAGGGAGATATGCTGCTGCGCCTCACCGAGGTGCTCGACGAGGAAGTGGAGACCCGCCTCACTTCTTACTACCGGCAGACGAGGCTGTACCAGGGAGATGTGATGGGGCAGTACGCCGCAGACCTGGAGACGGAGTTGGTCGACGCGACGATGCAGGTGGTGAACAAGTTCTCCAAGGCGATCGCAGCGGAGGTGCTGTCGAACACGGAGTCGCGCGTGCTGGGCTGCGTCGAGGAGAGTTATCGCCAGCTTGTGAAGTCGGCGCAGTCGCTGCCTTTCTTGGCGGACGACAAGACGGCCGACAAGGCGGGGCCGTGGGCCGGGTCGCAGGTGATGGACTCCGCCGGCTGCCAGCGGCTCGCGCGTGGGTTCTGGAGGACCTTATCGGTGCAGCTCCACGCGTTGGTGTCGGAGGTGGCCACGATGCCGCCGCCTGCCCACCTCTACGGTCGCTACGCCTCCCTCATCGCCCAGGATCCGACGGCGCGGCTGAACGTGCTGAACGTCGTGACGGACGCGCTCTTCCAGAAGGTGAGGTCCCGCATCTCCTCGATGGCGGACAGCGTCTTTGACACGATGCACGCGGGGTTTGAGCGCAGCCTGACGCACAACGCTGACGGCACGGTGCGCTTCTTCTCCACCACAAAAGGGATTCAAAAGGCCGTGCCCTCCGCGCTGCAGTCAGGCATGGTCGTTCTCGGCAGTCTTCTGTACTTCCGTCTAAAGCTGCAAGCACTGAAAGACTGCGATGGCGACGAGGAGGAAGGAGAGTTGGCTGCGCCGGCGGAATCGCAGAGTCGCTCCGCGCGTCGTGTCAAGGGTAACTGCCGTGAAATTGTGTTTGAGGAAAACGAAGCGGAGGCGGCTTTCTACCTCTCGTACAGCACGCTTGATTCTGCCCCTAAGTATCCCTACGACGTGCCGGTGGTGTCGGAGGATGCGGGGGACAGCGATTCAGCTGCGGCAGATGCGCGTTGTGTGCTGCTGACCCAGCAGGCCACCCTGCGCGCCTACGAGCTGTACAAGCAAAAGTGCGACTTCACGACGCAGCTGCAGTTGCGGGCGGTGGAGGCAGGCAACAACTCCCTGCCGGCTTGGGTGTTCCCTGTTATGCTGGCGCTGGGCTGGAATGAGCTCATGTACGTCGTCACCTCCCCGGTTCTGCTGGTGTTGACCATCGTGATTTGCGTTGTCTTCTTCAAGAACTTTTTTGTGTCGCAGTGGTACAAGTTTGAGGAGACGGGCCCGGCCAGCGTCGTCATCCCGCTGCAGGCCGTGGTTCGTACAGTGAAGCACATCTTGGGCCTTCTTTCGGCTATCGGCAAGGATGCCCGGTCTTCGCAAGCGGAGCGTGGCGGTGCGATGGAGATGCGAGATGTCCCCGCGTCGACGCACGTGGATGCGGCGGCTTCTTCCACACACGTTCCCACCGCCCCACCCACGCTGCGCCACCGCGGAAACCGCAAAGAGAATTAAGAATTGTCGAGGCGCAACGGTCGGCAACAGCACCTGTGCGTGCGATCTATCGTTTCCTGTTCGGTGTCTGTTCTGCTGCTTCTGTCGGAGGAAAAAGTGCTGGTGTTCTTGTGTGTGTTGTGTTATTGATATCAGCCGCGGTAGCACGATGACGCGCGCTCTCCATCGCTGTCGTCTTTCACCATCATTTTTCATGCGTGCGTGGTTCGTGGGGCCGCGTTGCTTATTGGTTTCTTTTCCCCTTTGTCATGTGCTTCTTTTCGTATCTTCGTGTGCTAAATCTTAGATGACCTCTGCGATAAAACCTTTCCTTCGTCCAACTGGGCGAAGTTTCGCGCGGCTGTCAACACAGCCTTCTTATTTCTCTATTATATTCAGGCACGGTGGTGTGGCCGTGCTTATTGCGGTCCGAGCTTTAAAGAAAATATCTTTGAATGCACTCACAAGGAAAAAGCTGTGCGCAGAGGCGCTTTACAGAACGCCAGTTTTGCAAAGCGCTACCATGAATAAAAAAGATAACGAATGTACACAGCCGTAAGGGCGAAAACGATTTTCTCGTTCATTGTATCAGGGGCGCGTCACCAAACTTGGCGTCTGCCATATCCACCGCGTTGCGATACGGAAGTGTTTCTTCTATTGGTTTCTTCTCCCCGTTCTTCTTGCTCGGCATTCATCGTTTGCTGTTTACTACTTCATGACCTGCTGAGTTGAAGCCGTTTGCCAGTCCGCTTCGAATCTGACGTTATACACTACGCCGTCTCACCTACCACCCGCACAGGCTAAAACAACAGAAAACAAAAACAAACACATCAGTAATGTCCGCAGCCGTTATGCAAAGCACCTACCCCACGCAGCACTGTGGGTGTGACTTCTGCAACAGTCGCCGCTCCGTCAACGCGAAGAAGCTGGCAGTGAGCCAGAAGGCCGCCCAACAGCGCGCTGACTGCACCTGCGAGTGCCACACGAAGGGCAGGCAGCAAAACGGCGGCACCGGCTTCGACCCGGAGTATCCGGCGCCGGTGAACCAGACGGCGCTGAATGCGTCGCGCGGCCGCAACGGGGTGCCGGGCGGGAATCAGTACACCATCAAGAACCAATCCACGCGTGCTGGGGAGAGTGGCTTGCAGGGCAGTGGCAACGACGCATCGGCGAAGGAGACGGCCGAGCAGCGTCAGGCCCGCGAGACAGCGGAGCTGGACGGGCTGGAGCGGCTGCTGATCGCCGAGTACAAGGCACGTACGCAGGCGACATTGGAGGCGGAACGGCTCAAGGCCAGTTCGACCAACGCATCCGCACGCCGCCCTCAGCCACTGCCGGAGGGCTACGCGAGCGGTGGCGTCCAAGACAACGACAACGCCGGCTACAACGGTGAGCCGGGGACGTGGGGCCGCAGCGGTCCAGTTGGCAGCGGCAGCTACGGTCAGGACGCCTCGACGATTCACGAGGCGTACGCGATGGCGCAGGACTGCCCGGCCACCCCACCGGCGCAGTGTCACGCGTCGCACCGCCTGCAGGACACGATGGACGACGTGCGCAAGGTCACCGGTGACCCGGTCAACACGAACAACCGCCGTGCCCTGCAGCGCTTGCTCAACAAAAACGGCCTCGGTGGCGGCGAAGACGGCGGCAGCGGGACGAGCTCGACGAGGGGCGACTCCACCGGCAACAAGGGTGCGAGGGAGAACGCGTTCGGCTCCTCGCTGGCGCAGTTGCGCACGAGCACTACGCACCCGCGCGGTGCCGGCGTCGTGTGGGTCCCAACCGTGCCGCTGAAGAGTTCCGTGAAGGACACGGACGTGCTGGTGATAGAGAACGCGGCGGGGGAAGTTGACCCTGCGGCGTCGGGATCGGCGACCGGTGTGGCAGCACAGCAGTCGTCCAAGGAGCGCCACGTAACTTACGCCGTGTAAAGTGCATGCGGTGGTACAGTTTTGAGCCCGTTTTTTTTTTATTTGTTCGCCATGTTTCAATAGCAGCAAGAGGAGCTGTCGGTGGTGCTTGAGACGAGCTCAACGACGCGCGGCTGATGCCTCCTTTTTTTTTCTTGTTTTTGCCTTTCTCTTCATTTCACCTGTTGACAAAAAAAGATAGTTTCTCATTCGTGCTCTTCAGCAAATGAGGTAATTATTACTGTTACTTTCTTCTGTATCTGAATCTCCAGATGTCAATCTGTACCGCACAAACGTGTTCCTCCTTGTTTCTTCCTCGTATGCTTTTACGACTGCAGATGTACACTTTCACCCTTTCAATGAAGTAAAAGGAAAAGATATCGATGAAGCGAAAATAGGGAGGAGCTTGTTGGTGTGTGAGCAAGTCTTTTCTTCGGGGCAACGCATTACGGATGTTCCTCACGCCCACACGTGGTCTTGACGAAGGGCAGTGGTGTGCCTCTTCTATTGGCATTCGCTCACAGCTGTAAAGCCCATTCCGTCAGCTCGCCGGCTGTTTTTTTTTCCTGTGTGTGTTGCGTGACCGAACAGTAAAGCGACAGCGCGTCAGAGTGGAATGCAGTGACAATGGAAGTGCATCTCGCCTGAGATACTTCCATCGCACAAATCCAAAGCGCCTTTCCTCAATTCACCGACTCCCTCCCCTTTCTTCTCTTTCCTTTTCTCTCCCCGCATCATCTCCGCGTTTCTTTATTTTTCATGAAACCGCTCAGTTGAACAAATCTCCTCGCTCACTTTTCTCGCACGCCCGTAGTGAACTAGAGTAACGCTTCCTGCCAGTCTCTTTCACGTTCTGTTGGATCCACCTCAACACACAGACAGACACACACACACACCTCGAAGGTCATCACGATGATTCGCGATCAGTGCCACGCTTACTGCCAGTGCTCCTTCTGCTCCCAGGAGCCGCAGGACAAGTCCACGAACGCCGGGGCGTCGATGCGGGCGGCGATGCAGTCGCTGAGTCGCCCAGGCATGTCGAAGGATGAGCTGTACATGAAGAGCCTCCAGAAGAGCCTCCGCGAGAAGGCCCTCCTCGACAGCTCCAAGAACGTGGGCCGCTTCATCCCGGACGAGCAGCTCCTCAGCAGCTCGAAGAAGCGCGCGGCGAAGGAGATGGCGCTGGCGGCGGAGATGGTGCCGGTGCGTCGCCGCGACCGCCTGCAGGAGCTGCTGCTGCTGGAGCACAAGGCACGCCTCGACGAGGAGGCCCGCGTGCGTGCGGAGCGCCGTGCCCTCGGCCTGCCGGAGGAAGAGACGGAGGCGGAGGAAGGCGCGGAGGGCTCGGCCAACGAGGCGGAGGCGCCCACCCCGGCGTCATCGCAGCGGGAGGTGGCGACGCCGTCGCAGCAGCGGCTCAGCAGCGGTGCCGTCACCCCGGCCTCGCAGTGCTCGGCGGAACACGATCTGCACACCATGCTGAAGGGGATCCGCGATATTGTCGACGAGGACCCCGCCGCCGCCGCCTCCGCCCCCCTCAACCAGCAGCAGGTCTTCAAGCTGCGCCAGCTGATGTACAACCAGAAGAAAAAGACGCGCGAGATGGTGGACAGCTGCGAGAACCAGCCTCACGTGTGCGGGCACTGCCTCGATGTGAACGTGCAGGCTCGCCACCTCTGCGCACCCCCGCAGGAGTCCGTTGCCTTTGGGTTAACTGGCAAGGTGATCAACCCGGAGGAGGGCGTGAAGTACGGTACCGACGCCCCACGCGGCTTTGGCGGAACCTACAGCACCGCCTCCGTCGATCCTGCGTACCTCTCCAGTAAGAAGATTCGCGAAGGCAACTACAGCAACCACCCGTACGGTGCCGGCATGGTGTTCCTCCCGATATCGTCCGTCAACGCAGGGGGCAGCCGCAAAGGCCAAACGAACAACCAGTCCGCGCGCTTCCGTGCCAGCTTCAACAACAACATCGGCCCCGGCGAGCCGGTCGAGGCCGACCTGCAGTTCCCCGGCAGCACCTACAACGTGTACGATAAGCCCGCATCACAGGTCGCCACCCCGGCGGCGCAGGGCGATGTGGCGGATCGCTCCGTCAAGATCGACACCGCTTCATCGAATGCGAGCTCACAGAACGCGGCGAATGTGCAGAAGGGCCCGGCTGCCACAGGGAATGCTGCTGCCTGCCGCTGAGCCGAACTACTCCTCTTCGGCTGCGCTGTGGAAGACGACCAACCAAGATCGCGAGCTCGACATGCAACGCTTCATGGAGTATCAGCAGAAAATCAAGACGAACAGCAAGCGTGTGTACGATGAGGGTGCGAAGCGATCTCCCAAGGTTGCTTCGGCGTAAGGGGGAGCATCATCCCGAACCCAAGTCTACCCCAAGCTGAACTCCGTTTTTTTTTTATCATTTCGATTTGAAAAAAACCCAAAAAACTGTATAAGCGCGAAAAGATTCGATTGCTGTTTATGAAAGCTTCCGACACGCATGTAGTAGCTCCGGTCTTTTCGTTTCTTTTCTTTTCATTTTATTATTATTATTATTATTTTTGTTATTTTCGCACCCGCAATGTACACTACCGTCGTTTCATGGTTATGGTTACTATCACTATCACTATTATCATTTTTTGCTTTTTCAGATGTCATACCTCTGTTTCGTGCTTGTTTCCGTGATGAGGAACCGTGTGTTTTTTTCTCCTTCTTTTGCTGTTGTTGTAACGGCGTGCCTTCAAAGCTGGCGTGTTGTTGGGTGGTGCGTGGAAGCACGGACCAAGATCTGCCTGTGCCTTCTCCATGTGAGGCGGAGACGGAATGGAGGCGTGCATTGAACGTGTTGTTTAAACACCCTTAGACATCGTTGAGTCTTCCTCTGTTCGGCAAAGAAAATCGAGCCACACATACAATCGCTTTTGTATTTGTTTTTCCTTTTCCTACCTCACCTGTACTCTAGATTATTGCTGTTGTTGGTTCTTCCTTGCTGTACTGCACCAGGCTCATTGAACGTGTTGTTTTGTACCCCCTCTCACTCATCTTTGTCTCCGATTACATCAATCCTACTACTACACGATGTACATAAACAGCCTTTTTTTCTCCTCTTGTACTATTTGTTGCTACCTCAGAGCTTTTAGGAGCTGAATGTAGAAGGTTATGGGGTTGCTTTGGCGAAATCTCCGGCTGACAACAACCAACATTGAAAGTACCATGAATATATATATATATATATATGTATGCATTTGGTGAGAGAGTGAGAGAGAGAGGACGAGAGAAAACAAGAAGATCTCCTTTCTGACTCTCTCCACGCTGTTTCGGCCCTTTTCATTGCCGTCACGTGAGTTCTTCCACCTTCATTCGTTCACCTCGCGCATATCCGAGAGGAGAGATGCGCAGCCGGTACGAGGCGCAGCGGAGTGAATGGTGTTCATCTGGGTTCCGGGACTTCTAAGCGATGATGAATATTGAAGGCACTACAATTTGGTTTCTTGTTCTTCTATGGCAACGGACAGTGCCGCTCTCGCACGTACTTGCTGTCGCCGTTGCACACATCTCCTGTAACGCCTCTTTTGAATCGACATGAAAAGGCTTTTTCGAGTTTCCCTTCATTTTCTCCTTCCTCTTTAAACGCTTATCAGCTGGGGTCACATCGTAGTCCAAGTTAAACAACGGATGTAAATACAGAAGGGCACAGCGACACCGTTTCCCCTGTGTTTATTGCCGTACTGACGGCAGGCTTTTGTTTTGTGTTTTTAAGAGACCGCCACAGCACTCATCGTCATCATGTCCATCAAGGCAAAGACAGTGGAGAAAGACCGTGCAGCGGCGTTTGACAGGGGTGTATTTGTCAGCGCATCTGCCTCTGCCGGAAAGCGGTCGTACTACTATGAAGAGGAGCGTCGTTACAAAGGGGTGGACGCGGCCACCTCCGGGTCCTCGTCCTCGTCTTCATCGCGTTCCAGCAGCCCAACACGCACCGGTGCCACCGCTGCACGCAGAGAAAGAGATGCCGCGACCCACAGCAGCACCGATAAGGAGGAAGATGAGGATGTAAGTGGCGATGAAGAGGTGGTGCGACGTGCGCGGGCTGCGACGCAGGCATTGCTTGGCGGTGGTGGAAGAAAAAAGATACGCCCTGCGAGTGCGACAACAGAACCAAAGAACTCGGCTGCCGTTACGCTGCCGAATGAACGGCTAGAGGCGTATTTGCGTGGTCGGTCCGGGTCCATGCCAACGTTGCGCAGTGGTGGACCGTCTACCGCTCCATCAGCAGCGGCCGCAGCAACGGGCGCGAACACGCTGAGGGCACATCACCTGTCCGCAAACTCCACGCCTCACGCAGAGACGGCGCAGTTTCCACCAACGAGCGCCAAGTCGCAAAACACATCTCTACTGAACCGTCTCGCTGGAGCGACACAGCCAAGCGCCAACGCCTCCGCTTCGGACCAAGACATGGCGAAACAGTCGGCTGCATATCAACAGGCGCTGCAGATGCGCACCACGAACGTCGACTTTCAGCAACTCATGTCCCTTTTAGAACACGACGTTCGACGAGAGCAGCAGCAGCAGCAGCAGCAGCAGCAGCAGCAGCAGCAACCGCGGCGAGAGAACACAGCGACGCTGTCCGACACTCTGACGACGTCGACGAAGACGGCCGCGGAAAGTCCTTCCACGGCACACGATGCCGTCCCGGCTGCAACGCAGCAAAGAGAGTCTCCGCCGCCGCGCACCTTTGCCACGCTGGAAGACACAGCGTTGGAGGAGCTCTTCGAGGATTGGTGTCATCAGGGTACAAGCACAGTGGCCGGAGACGATGAGGGTGATGGCGGCGCTGAGGTGTTTATTGCCGCAGATCATCGCGCGGCTGCTTTTACGCTTGCTGCGGTGGCCGCACACGAGCTGGACGCCTCCTCGTGGGGGCGCACGTCGGCTCCACGCAATGCCGCACGTACCGCGTCGACCGTTGCGGCTTCTTCGTCTGCGGTGGCCGCCCCCGTGGTGAACGCGCCGCTGATGTGGGAGGAGTTGATGCTGAGCGAGGTGGCACGCCGCAACGCGCGCAGCATGAACCACGACAGCAGCCGCAACAGCAGTGGAGGCGGTTTGCTGAGCAACCCGGCAGACGTCGCCGAAGAGGCAACACAGCGGCTTCGCCGATTTCTGCAGTCTGTCGACTGCATTGAGCGCTTGGTGAACCACCGCCGCTTTGTGCGCAGCGTCGCCGCGTACCTCTACGAACACCACAAAGTCTTTCTCCCGCACTACATCACATCCCCCGGCCTCTCTCCTCCACCAGCAGCCGCCTCATCAGACGGAGCGCAGCTTGGAGCGTCCCCGTCGGTTCCCTCTTCCTCCTCAGTGGTGGAGCACCGTCACGAGGAGTACGCCGTCTACGAGGAGTTCGGCCGCCGTGTCTCCACAGCGTTGCTCTCGTATCTCACGCACTACGTCGCCGGCTTCGACGAGGCTGAATTTGTAGAGGCGCTGTACGATACTCCCGCTGCTTTTGCGGAGGACGACGTGCCGGGCGACGTCAGCTCCGCATCCGCTGTAAGAGGCCCGCAAAATGTGCTGTCTTTCCCTGCGTGGCGGTTGGTGCTGGCCATGAGTGACTTTGAGAGTTTCTTCGCGTGGATGATGGACTACATTTACGAGGAATACCACCTGGATGGTCTGGCTGATGAGAGCACCGGCTTGGTCGTGGCTGGCGCACGCGGACTGCGCGCACTGATACGCTCGACATACAGACCACCGCTGGAGGCGCCCGCTGAGGACGCTCCCGCGCCCCTGTCCGGGACCGAGGCCGCGACAGCAGTTCCACTCAGTGCCGCTTCCACACGGGCGGGTGTCTCGCAGTCTCCACCCCCGCCCCCCGTTCGCGACGCCGCGCAAAATCCGCCGTCCTCCGCAGAGTCACCGTCACTGGATGCACCGGGCGCCGAGTCGTCCTCCTCTTCGCCGCACTTGTCCGAGTCCCCGCCGCGGCCGAAAGGAACATTGGCGCCTCTCACGTCCAGCGCACCGCTGCCCCCTTCGCCGCCCCCCACCCGCACCACGCTCTCGTCTTTGTCAGCCGCCTCTCTTCCTGTACGCGGCGGCAGCAGCAGCAGTGCCGGTGTGCCGGCAGGCTTGCATCTTCGCCAGTTTTTTCCGTCCGCGCCGGCCAGCGCGGAGGGCGGCACACGCGCGGGGGCGAGTAAGAAGGCGACGCCGGTGTACCGTAAGCGGCAGACGACGCACCCCGGTCGCAACCTACCCCCCCTTACACCCCCCACGGACCACATCGTGCGGCCGAGCAGCGTTGTAGACGAAGCGGAGGCGGCGAATCCACATGGTTGCGCGTCGCTCCCTGCGTCTCTTCGATTGTCGGACGCGAGCTCTACCCCGGCTGGCGTTGCCCAGGCCTTCGCCAGCACCGCACCTCCGGCGCCGACAACTGCTGCGTCGGGGCTGGCTCCGGCGCACCGCGCTCCTCGCACACGATCCTCTACGAGCAAAAAGGACTCGACCGCCGACGACGATGCGAATGCCTCCAGCGCGCGACCGAAGGCTGGCAAGGCACTGAAGGCAAAGCCACAGAAACCGAAGCTGAATCGTTGACAAGTGACCGCCTGGTTCTCGCTGAAAAAGTCTTCTCTCCTTCGTATACTCTTATGCGCCTGCGCCGAACGTCTTTTTTTGATTTCCTCACCCTTTTCCATATCAATCCCCTTTTCATGTGCTGCGTGTGCTGCGTGTCTTTAGGAAGTGCTCGAATAAAAGTGGGAAAGATCATCGTGCTTGTAAGGGGACAAGCGTTCCGCTTTCCCTTTAGAAAAGAAAGGAAAAAAATCGTGGTGAGTCTGCTGTGTTCTGCGAAACGTGCAGCTTGTCCCTGCTGCACCTAAACAGCAACAAATGAATTTGGACAGTCTTGACGTCTGGAGTTCTTCTAACATTTGCCAATATCTATTGTCTCCTTCCAATCCCACGTGCTGTTCCCAGGTAGCAGCTTTTAGGGAGATCGCCCGACCAGCTGCCACACTTTTACCCCTTTTACTCGCTGTTGGAGCGACTGGATTTTGGGCTCTCTCTCTCACATACACACCATTTCGTTTATACACGTAGACATTACCAATACACCTGAATGTGCGTGCTTTACAGTTAATCTTGCATTTACCAAAAGAAAAAAAGTGTTGAAAAGCACGAAAGCAGTCTTCTTCGTTTTTAAAAAACTCTGTGTATTGTTGCCCTCTGGTTTAGCAAACATTCTTCCTCATTGCGGAACGCGTCTTTTTTCCTCCAAGTTCGATTGTATTGTTTATTTTGTTGTGGCTGAGGCTGAACGTAGAGGACGCCAAGTGAGACGGCGACATTTGGTTTCAGCTACAGCTGACGCTGTTTGTACTCTCTCTCTCCACTGTTTTTTGTTGACTTCTCTAGCTTCATCTCCCGCCACGCATAAAGGCTGGCGTGCGGTGAGGAAAGGCGAACTGTTTTGCAATTCAATACCAAAAAGTATATTTCAAATCTACTCTAATTTATCGTCGCTGTCGTTACGGCGTTTCTGTATCACTCCGTCTTCTGCTGCTGCTGCCGCCGCTGCTGCACGAGGGCTTTCGCACTTTCGTGTGTCTTTATGGTAATAGCTACTCTACGAAAACGAGCCTTGAATTCTCGTAGAGGACGCAGAGAGGAATGAGGTCGGCACGTCGGAGTAGCGTTCAAACGCCGTCGGTGCGGACGAGCTCCTCGCACCTCAGCACAATCGAGCCGCGTGGCGTCCCCGAGTTTGATCGCGACTACGCCCGTCAGCTCAGCACCGCGAAGCGTGGCCGCACCGGTAGCGTCACACCCTCACCGCGTGCAGGGTCACCACACGAAACCACTGTGGACGAGCTCAGCATTAGCCACTTCCCCGCCTCTGCCGCCAAGGCAGCGGCGGCGGCGAGTCGTATTAAGGATTACGTGACCACGCATGTGACGCCGCCACAGCCGTTTCAACACAGCACCTCTCCGCGCCAGAGTGAGAATATGAACAGCGACGCTGCCACTCCGAAGAACATAAGCCTCCACGACAGATCAGCAAACTCAAGGAGTACTCTCTTTGCCGATGAAGACGGTGCAGTGGGGTCCACTTCCCCTCCTAAGCCGGATAGTCTTAATTCCACCCGCCGTGGAATGGATGTTTTCCCACGTGATGCTGCGAAGTTGGATTCTCTGCACGACAGCGGGCTCGTGCTTGCGGTGAAGACTGTGGTACTCTGCGTAGCTGTCTTTTTTGTGCTTCTGTGCGCGGTGTCGTTTGTTGTGTCGTCAGACACAGACTACATCCCGACGTACTTTAGCGCGGGCGGGAGCGCAGATATTTCTGCCCCGCAACGTTCTGCCGCTGCGTCGCCGCGACCGTTCCCCGATCGCATGATCCCGCAACTGAATCGCCAAATTGCGCTGCACACACGGCACACGCTGGGGCAGCTGGTTCACGTATTAGGGGTGGTGAGGGTAGCGCATCTCGTGGGCCGCGTGCTGCACTGCGTGGGGAGACTTTTCACGAGAGTATGGATGATAGTAAAGGAAGCCATTCTCTCGCCGATTGCGATGATGCTGCCGAGGGTCGACGTGGGCGCGCACCCAACGCTGCGGAACACTTTCTCCAACTCGACGGAGGGCGGGTCGCAGGGTGGCACCGTCGTCAGCCCCGTCGCCCGCGCACTAACGCAGCTTGCTACGAAGCCGGTTTCTATTCTGTGGCGCACCTTTTGCTGCATGGGGCGTTTGCTGACGCGGTCCATTCACCGTTTCTCCGTTCCGTTAACGGGCCCAAATATGTCGGCGGCCGGTCGTCTCCGTCATTACCACCCCACCGCACCCGTGCAGGCGACCCCCCGGCGAGGCAACACCCGTGTGATGTCGCGGGCCACCGCGTCGTTCTTGCTGACCATTTGGCGGCCGCTGCATCGGGCGTGGACGTTTGTGGTGCCGTTGGCAGGAGAGAACACCACCCCGCCGTCCGACAACAGGTCTGCGTCTCTTCCCAGTGTGACGACTGCGGAGACGCGAAACGCATCGGGCGCACAAACACCGTTCGCAGAGCAGGCACGACCCCAACAGCCTCGAGCAAACGCACCCACAGAAAAGGAAACAACGCCGACAACGAAGCAGTTGACTCCCCTTACAAAGGTGCGTACCACACACACGCGCCGCCTGTCGGGTGAGTTGTGGCCGACCCTTCTGTCACGGCACGGCGACAAACTCAAGCAACTCGCACACGATGATCTGCAGAGCTTGTTCGGAAATGATGCTGTCGTCGAGGACGTGGAGCTGCGTTCCGGCAGCCTTGTCGTTGACTTCGCCGTGGTGGCGCTCAGCGCGCCGTCAGAACAGGACAAGAGTGAGACTGAGCTGCAGCGCGCCATCCAATCGAAAAGGGACGCGCAGTTCGCGAAGGGCCGCTTTACTCGCCTCCAGGCCTTCTACAAGGAGGAAGCTGCAAAAATAAGTCAGGAAAGAGGTACCATGGAGTCTGCCGCTGCTGCTACTGCTGCTGCTGCTGCTGCTGCTGCGAAGTGCGACAACCTTGTGTCTTCGTGTCAACAGGACTGTGACGCGCTTCATCAGCAGCTGAAAGAGGACGTGCGCACCTGCGAGGCGGTCTCGGCGGCGGCGGTGGAGAAGTGCGAGACGAATCGGGTCGCAGCGCTGCATGACGCGGAGGCGGTGCTGCAGGAACATCTAGCGGCAGAGAAGACGTGCCAGTCACGCGCGTCGGAATGCGCAACGAAGCTCGCCGACGCAGAGAAGCTGCTGGAAACGTACGAAGCCGAGAAGCGGGACAGTGCGGCAACGCTCACGGCGGCACAACAGGCCCTGGCGGCGGCCACCGTCGGGTACGCGAATGAGTCCGAGGCGGTGCGGCAGCGGTGCTTGATGGAGGTGGCGAAGGAGAAGCAAAGCTGTTCCAAGCAGATTCAAGAGGTGCGAGGTTCCTTAGAAGCCGATCACGCAAAAGACATAGAGTTGAAGCGGAGAGAGTGCGAGGCAGAGGCGCTGAAGGTGGGAGAGCAGACGTGTGCGAAGCGTCTCACGGAGAAGCAGGGCAGACTCAACGAGCAGTGCCAGTCTTCGCTGCGGCACGCAGAAGCGCTCTGCACGGAGCACCTCGCACAGAGGGTGGGCGAAGTGAACCGCAGTTGGACGGCGGCGCTGGAGGAACTCCAGCAGACAATGGACACCTCTGCGACGGTTGCGGCGCAACGCCTTGCCGCGTGCGAGGCATCCAATGCCCAGGCAAAGACAAACTGGGAGGCGGAACAAGAAGATCTGCATGCCGCCTGCACCGCACAGGTCACGGCAGCACAGGCAACGTGCGGAGAGGCGGAGCGCCAGGCAGCGGCAGAGGGATGCGCGAGGCGGCTGGCCGCCCTGAAGGAAGAGTTGCAGGCATCGTGCAGCGCGGCAGTGCAGCGAACCGAGCTAAGCTGCAAAGCACAGCTGCTGAATGATGTCGCAGCCTTCAACAGCAGTGCTGCAACGGCACTGGCCAAGCTGCGCGAGACCGTCGACGCAACGAAGCGAGCCGCCGAGGAGCGCGGCGCCGCGTGCATGACGCTGCGAGAAGTGGAAAGGGCAACGTGTGCGACGCATCAACAACGTCTGAACGCGTCGTGCACGGCGCAGCTGATGAGCGCGCAGGAGGCATGTGAACGCAGCGTGCAGGAACGAGTGGAGGCAGAGCGGGCGACGCAGCGGCAAATTGCAGACGAAAGCTGGAGTCGCCAGGTGGCGGTGCTCACGACGCAGTGTGACCACGAAACGCACCGCGCCGTGGCGGAGGTGACTGCAAAACTGCAGGCGCAACACACCGCGACACTGCAGGACACCAAAGCCTCTCTGCAACAGCAGGCGGAACAGGAACGAAAGAAGACGAGGGAAGCGTCCGACAAGGAGCGGGAGGCTTTCCGCCAGCGTTACGCCGGGGAACTGCGCAGATGTGAGGCGCAGACTTCTAGTTGTGTGGCTGAACGCCGTGCTGCTCAGGCTGCGCAGGAGGCGACCGCCGAGGAGTCCCGGAGGCAGCTCTTCGTCTACCTCGCCGACAGCGGCGAAGGCGCGTGCCTTCACTTGACGCACGGTGACAAAGCTGGTTGCGCCGCAGAACGAAAGACAATTGAGGCGAGACTACACGCCCTCCCAATCACCGCTACGCCACTGGAGGCGCTCTCCAGCCTGCTTTTCGACAGCAGGTCCGCTTCTTCTTCCTCCCCTTCCTCAGCGCCGGGCCAGCTGACGTGGAGCTTCGCGGACAGCGGTCTGCGGTCTCTGACGCAACCGGATCGGCAGGTGGGAAAGGCCGCCACACCGTGGCTGCACGTGACTGGTATGGTGGTCGGCCTTGCCTCGGCCGCCTACGCGCTCTTCCGCCGCCAGCGGGACCGACGCCTCTACAAGGACACCATTGCGCAACTCAACGCGCTCATCGACGCCAACGCGGTGACGATGGCTGTTCGCTCCGCCCGGCCGCCGCTGCCGCGCCGTGGCCGCATTGGCACTGCTGCAGCCGCCTTTACGGACGACGCACCGGCGAGTTGGGCGGTGGCGGCGACGTGTCTGGAGGCGTGCACCGACGCCATCGTGTCTTGGCATTCCACCAGCTGCGCGGTTCTCTTTGAGCAGGAGTCGAAGGCGTTGCTGCAGCAGCACTACGGGGTGCAGCACAGCGCTCTATCCTCCATCTCCCCCTTCAATTCGGCGCTGGGGCCCCAGCCGCCCACCAGCGTCGTCTCGGCTTCGACGCTGCCGCTGTCGGACCTCGACGCCTCTCGCGCGGACACCGCCCACGCCGTGTCGCAGATGCACGAGGCGTTTGTGCGCATGTACTACGACGTTCTGGAGATGTACTACGTGGACCTGCTCAACGCCGTAGCGAACAGGGAGCTGGCGGAGAGTCAGCTGCAACAGACGGAGTCGGTCGCCGCGCGGCAGGCCACCATCCTCCACAAGCAGTCTGCCGCCGTCGCGCAGTTGAGGCGTGCGCTGGCGGAGAATGAAAAGGAGCTCGCCCGGCGCGGCACCACTCCGGGGAATGTTGGCTGCGTTGGTGGGGCAGAAGACAAACTTGCAAAGGAGGAGCGCAAGACGGCAGCCCAACAGGCCATGATCGCCCTGCTGGAAGGACAGCTGCAAGTCAGCAGAGAGGAGTTAGACCGGGCACGCGGCGGGGTGCAAACACCAGGGCGGACACCACGCAGCGAGGCCGGGGCAGAGAGCTCCACCGCGAAGCAGGTGCTCTCTCTCCAAGAACTGGCCGATGCGGAGAACGACGGCACCAACTCCTCGGACTTCTCCAACGCCGGCCACCCGTCGCCACGCCGTCCAACTGGCGCGTCCTCTTCTAAAAGTCAACTCACCCCATCCGCCAGGCCTGGCCAGCACACTGACCCGCCCGTGAGTCGGCGCAGGACGACAGAGGCGCAGAGAACAACGCCGTCGTCCGCGATGAAGAAGCCGACAAGCATGATACGTGATCCGGAGACAACTCGCCGCTACCACAAACTGCGGTGGAACGACGAGTCGGGTGGCGAGTAGAGCAAAGCGTCAAAATAGGTTTCTTCTTTTCTTTTTACGTTCGACTGCATGGATGACGGTGCTCGCGTTCTCTGCCTCGTCCGACACGTTTCTCGCTGCGTTTCTGCTGCTGTTAATGACACCAACCACTTAACTGTGCCATATGCCGGTGCAACACTCTTTGTGCGCTATCTCTTTTTCTAATTTCGGGAAATGGACTGCTGAGAGACCACTTCTGATCGCTCCTCGATCAGCGACCGCGCATGCGCTGTGGTGCACGTGCGTGCGTTTCTTTTTTTAGCTATGTGTACGACAGTGCCTAAGGCATTTCACGCGTTGAACAGCATTTTTTAAAAGTCTTATTTCCACGGATGGCCCAGGAAGCGATGGATGTATCGCAACGACCTGGCTCCTCACATCCGCACTCACATTATTGACGGGCTTAACGTCGGAAACAAGGCGGCAAAACACGCGGCATGAAAGCGACCTGAGTGAAGTGGCTTACGTACGAGGATGTCGATCTTCACGAAGACGGCGCATTGTGCTGCTCGCTCATCTCAAGCGTTCTCGCAGTGTTTCGTGTAAAACTCTTCCTTGATGTCTTTCCTTTGCTTCTCCTTTGCTGCCTTTGATTTTTGATTCATCTGTCGGTTGGAGGAGGAAAATGACTTGCTGACCCCTTATTTTGAAGCGTGGAACGTACAACAACAATAACAATACCACACAGCCGCGGACAGCAAAGAATGCCGATGCGTTGATGGAGCTGCTCTGCACGCCCTTAACCTTTCTGCTGGGTTCTTAAATGCGAAACAAAGGACGCGTATGAGAATGCCACCTCTTTCTTCTGGCAAAAAGGGCACGCGATCGCGTTCGAAGCGGGCAGCTCGCGCGTTCACCGCGGCACTCCACACGGAAGCAGTTCACAGCAATCCCTCTGCGAAAGAAAGTACCTACATTGATGAGGAGCACCCGACCGGGCCTTTTATGCACGCAGAGAGCTGTGTACTCGTTTGTGGCTCCTTTCCTCCCGTCAAGAAGTCGGTCAAGTTCTACTACCCAAATGCCAACAACGATATGTGGCGCGTACTGGGTGAGGTCTTCTTCCACGACCAGACTCACTTTTACACGGATGTGGAAATCAAAAAGCCCAGCAAGGGACGTAGAAAAGGAAGCGTACGTGTTGCGCGCTGTCTCAACGAGGCTGAGATGCGCAACTTCGTCGTGTCGCAGCCCATTGGCTTCTTCGACGTGTGCAAGCGGATCCGCCGCCAACGTGGCAACTCCTCAGACAATAACATCGAAACGCTCGAGCGAACCGACGTGTTTCGCGACGCACTGACGCACACACCGCATTGCGAGGCGATCATCACCACCGGCACACTGGCGTTGACGATGCTTTTGGATGCGTTACACACTTGCGGTTCCTTCGTGTCTGACAGTGGTGAAGTCGTCAAGGCCATCGCGCGCAACAAGCTCGGCAAGGTGACATACAGTATTCCCCGTGTGGGAGGGAAGCTGCGGTGGGCGCCGAACACGACGGCACCTTATCACAGAGCGCTGTGGATCTACCGTGCTCCCTCCACCTCACGAGCCTTACCTCTCAAGCTAGCGGACAAGATAGCTCTCTACCGAACCATGTTCGCGGCGCACCTGCACCTTGCGTAGAACCGGCTTTGGGCCTCTGCAGGGAATCTACAGGTACTCGCGCTGAAATCACCGTTCGCGGACTGCCGTCGGTGGGGGAAGAACACACTTCTGGCGCAACGTGTCGCTCTCTCTTCGCGGTGCTCATCAACAACGCCCAAAATAAGTTGGGAAGGTGATATTCTGTTTCCAGCAAACTGCTAAGGAAAAACAAAAAGTGGATCAACATGGCTTTTTTAGTGTTGACCCACATAAGTACCAGAGCGACTCGTTGATTGCATTTGATGGCTGCGATGCGTCTACGCCTGCAGAAATTCTGTGGATACTGCCCACACACAGCGATGCCTGCGTTTCTCTCTTTCTGAAACACCTTCTTTGGTCCGCTGCCTTGTTTCCTGATGCACTACGAAATCGCCTCCCCTCTCGTTCATTATCTATCTCTTCTCTTTTGTTTCTCACACACGTTCAACGACAACGCGTGAAGCAACTGCATTACTTTTTGAAGAAAACGAAAAGAGAGACGTTTCTCTTCTGCCTCTGTCATGCGAGCGTCGTGATCGTCTACGGCACACCAGTTTTCTTGTATGTAAAAACAACAACTGAGTTTATCTTCTGTTCTCATTGGAGTTGTGGCGGCCCTCTTTTCAAATTTGCTGCAGCGCACAGCTTCTTTTTGTTTGGTTCGCCTTGGGCCTTTTCCCACTTTTTCGTCTGCGACAAGAGCGCTCCTCTGATCCGAGTAGCGCACGCACCCGCGGTCTCCTCACTCTGCCAGAGTTATTAGAAGAAGAGGGTTTGGGTCGTTGCGTTTCTTTTTTGTGGTCTGCCTCTCTTTCTTTTCCTCCACTTCCTCATGTCGCTTTTCATCGTCAACACCCCCAAGTACGATGGGCAGCTGAAGGAGAACCTCATCGCAGCGCACAAGTCAAAGCCGCTGCTCGCCACCGGCTGGATCAACCCCCAGTCCGTGCTCATCACCAGCAATGAAGGCGAAGTACTCACCTCCATTAAAGAGCCAGCTGGCTCGACAGGGCGGACGCAGCAGCCGACGGTGCTTGCGTGGCACCCGGTGGAGCCGCTGCTCGTGATTGGCTGGAGCAACGGCAAGATGAGTCTTTGGGCGATGCCGACGGCGAGTGCGTTGGCGCTGGGCGATGAGGCCGTAGCGGAGACCACTAGCAGCGCCGTGCAGCTCCTCGCCGCCTGCGCCGCCACGCAGAGTGACGCAGAAGGCGCGGTGCGGGAACACGGCGCGGGGGCGGTGCTGGCCGCAGAGTGGTCCACCCGGGGTCTGTACTTTGTCTCGACCTCTCAGCAGCGCTACGTGGTGGCTTGGATGCTGGAGCAGACGGCAACCGAGGCGAGCGTCAACTTCAAGCTGAAACCGCTGTGGTCCGTCCAGGCGTCCGGTCCTGTGGTACGCGTGATACACGTCCCGGGTGCTGTCACAGGACGGTCGATGTCCGTGGCGAGGGCGGACGCTGTCGGTGGTGGTGCCGAGGGTGGCAGTGGCGATGACGACATCAACTTTTTGTTGGCGGACGGCACCTCCACCATTTTAGCCGTCAACGAGGAGCAGCAGCTTTTTCCGTCTGTGACGCAGCAGGAGCCGATTGTGTCGGTGATCTACGACCCCCGCACCCGCACGCTCGTCACGCTCAGCACCAGCTACATGATCGAGGCGTACAAGGTGGGCGCGGAGGACCTCAAAGGAACGTCTACCGTGCGCCGCAAGCTGCCCACCCCATCCGCTGCCGCCGTCGGCGTCACCGCATCCGGGGGGAAGATTCCCACCTCCATGGTGTGGGCTGGTCCGGGCGTCGTGGCGTTTGGCGGCGGTGACGATCGGCTGCGTCTCTTCGAGCTGCTCACCGAGTCGCTGGACGTGCTCACGTTGCCGCAGCCCGGCCTTCACGTCTCCTGCCTTGCCACGAACGTCGGGAGGAGCGTGTTGACGGCCGGCACGGTGGAGGGCACTTTGGTGGTGTTCCAGCGTATTACCGGTGGCTCTGGCGCGGCTCCATCAGCAGCGGCAGCGGCGACAAACAACTCAGTGAACGGCGCCGTCCATCCGTCTTCCAGCGTGAGTGCGGCCAACAGAGTGTCCGTCTTTGCCCTCGGCGCCGAGGCCGGCCTCGCCAGCCAGTGGGAGCCCTTAGTAGTGCATCAGGTGGACAAGTACGTCGACCGACTTCTGCTCACGGCACTGGGCGACACGGTGGTATGCCGCGGCGGCACGGAGCTGCAGGTGCTGCACGAAACGAGCCGCAAACGGGCCTGGGATGGCGTCGCGGCGGCCACGCAGATATCGGCGGACATGGTAGTGATTGAGAGTGTCACGGGCTGCCAGTGTTTGCTGCGCAGCAAAGGCAACGTCCGCGGTCTGTCGATTGCGTTCCCTAACATTGCCCTGTGGAATGGCTCGCAGATCGATCTCTACACCATCAACGAGGCAACGTCGGAGTTTACGCTCGTGAACTTTGTGCCGTCGACGAGCGCCGCCTTCGCGATGCACCACGACGGACTCATCTACGTGAAGGGCAGCCGCGTCGTGTTCGAGACGATGCAGCTCGCTCCGATTGCACAGATGACCTTCACCGAGGCGGAGGGCGCACCGGTGATCATGGACCTCATGAACGACTATCTGGTGGCGGTCTCCTCGAAGAACTACCTGCGGCTTGCCCGTGTGTCTTCGCGGGACTTACGCCAGGTCGGGCCCGCCCGTCCTCTCACCTTCGACACTGCCGGGGCGGCGACGGAGCCGACAGCTGCGCAAACACGACGGATGTCTTCCGCACTCACTGGAGCAGGAGCAGCAGCCGCCTCGCAGACGGCGGCGGCCTCCGTGCTGTCCGTCCGCGTCAACGCACAGGGGCGCCGCGTCGCTTTCATGACGAAGCCTGGCGCCTCGGGGCTGCCCGACACGCGCGTTTGGGTGTACAACTCCGACACCGATAAGATGTCCTCCTTCGACTTCGCTCCGCGAAACGAGGTGCCTAACGCGGTGTACTGGAACACGCCGGAGCCGAACACAAACACCGTCGGTGAGCTGGAGTACCTCCTGCTCGCCTGCGAGACTCACCAGACGCGCTCCGACGACAAGAAACCGGCAGAGGCAGAAGAGTCTGCCGCAAAATCCGAGAGAGACACCGCGAGTAAGGGCGCGGAACGGCCTGCGGGGCAAGAGGACCTCCCGGAGGCGCTGCCGGACATGGAGAACTTTGTCGAGAAGAAGGAGGCCATGGAGGACGCCCGTCGCGGCTCACTGGGCGCGACGAACTTCATTGACCACCGCGCGCACAACATCGTGACGCTCTTCGCAACGCACACGGGTCTCGTCGAGCAGAACGTGTGCTCGCTGCGTCGCTACCAGATCTGCCTCGTCGGTCTCACCATCCCCGACTTTCTGCTAGCTTCGGTTAAGATCAACGGCAACCCCAGCAACGCAGAGGACTACGTCATTGAGCAAAAGCGGCTGCGTGATTTTGAGGGGCTGAAGTCGGACAAAGACGTCGCGGTGCGCGAGGCGCTCATGAAGTTCAGCTACTACTCCACCATCGGTAACATGGACGAGGCGTACCGCTGCGTGAAAAACATCAAGAATCCCGCCGCGTGGCAGGGCTTGGCGCGGCTGTGCGTGTCCAGCGGGCGGTTAGATGTGGCCGCCGTGTGCCTCGCTACGATGGAGGACTGCGTCGCCGCACGGGCGCTGCGGGAGGCGCGTGAAGAGTACCCAGACGAGAAGGACGTGCAACTGGCCACGCTGGCGCTGGGGCTCGGCATGACGGAAGAGTGCGAGACGCTGCTGCGGAAGGCGAGGCGGTTCGACTTGATGACGGATGTCTTCATGGCGTGCGGCAAGTTCGAGCACGCCCAGCGGCACTCCGAGAAGTTCGACCGCGTGCGCATTCGACCCGTCGCCTACAAGTACGCCCAGTTCATGGAGAGCCTGCAAAATATGGACGCGGCGATCATGTGGTACTACAACGCGAAGTGCGCAGGCACCGATGTGCCGCGCATTTTCTTCCAGACGAACCGGATGCACGAGCTGCGTGACTTCATGGTGCCGCGCAGCCACCCGGCAACACCGATGGCAAACAACAGCCCGACTGCAGGCAGTAACGCCGGCAATTCGCCCGCACGCGAGGACACGCAGGCCGCCTTTGCCACCCTCTTCCCCCGCAATCGCGAGTTGCTGCTGTGGTGGGCGCAGCACAGCGAGCGGCGCCGCAACGTGCAGGAGGCCCTTCGCTTCTACCACGCGGGCGACGACGTTTACAGCATGGTGCGCGTCCTTTGCTCCCTCAGCCCGCCGAAATTGGAGAACGCCATCGAGTTGGTGAAGAAAGAGATAGACAAGGCAAAGGAGCGCTTTCAGCAGCAACAAGCCTTCGCTGCGACTGCTCCCGGGCATCGAGCGGACGAAGATCAGGGCGAGCCCGATCCCGTCGGTGCCGCCTTCTTTGTAGGCCAGATTTATGAGCGGCAGGGCGACTTGGCACATGGGCTGCAGTACTATCAGACCGCTGGCGCCTACCGCAGCGGCTGCCGCGTGGCGTGGAAGGCGGAGCAGTACGGCGCGGTGGTCTCCCTCGCGATGAAGAGCGCGGACGAGCGGCTGATGCTGGAGACGGCGATGGCCTTTGAGCAGCAGCAGCTTTTTGACAAGGCAGTCCAGTTGTACCGCCGCATCGGCGCGGTGCAGTGTGCCTTGGACGCCTGCGTGAAGGGAGGACTCTACGAAACCCTGCACGAGATCAGCGCGAACCTGGCCAGCGCTTCGACCGACCCGGCTGTGTTTCTCGGCATGGCGGATCACTTCCAGAGCGAAGGTGACTATCAGAAAGCGGTGGAGATGCTCGTCTTTGCGAAGCACTTCGACGAGGCCATGAAGCTCTGCGAGACCCGCAACGTGACCTTGACGGAGGAGATGGCGGAGTCCATTACCGGCGACGTTGGCAAGCTGCCGCAGGAGGAGAAGCAGGCGCTGCTGCACCGGGTTGCGCACATCGCCCGCGATCAGGGCAGCTGGTCGCTGGCTTGCAAGAAGTACACCCAGGCTGGTGACCGCGTGAAGGCGATGAAGATGCTCATGCGCGGTGGTGAGACGGAGAAGGTGATCTTCTTCGCGAACCACTCCCGCAATGCAGAGATCTACACTTTGGCGGCAAACTACCTCCAGTCGCAGAACTGGCTCGCCGAGGCGAACATCTACAAAAGCATCGTGCTCTTCTACACGAAGGCGAAGGCCTTCTCCAACTTGGTCGCCTTTTACGAGTCGTGTGCGCAGCTGCAGGTGGACGAAAACCGCGACTACGCCGAGGCACTGCGGGTGCTGGAGGAGTGCATCCGGCTGACGCAGACCGGACCCGCCATCAAGGCCACGATCGACCCGGTCAAGATCGAGAACATGAAGCGCAGAGTCGAAGTGATGCGTGGTTTCGTGAATGCACAACGCCTGTGCAACTCCATGAATCCCGCGGACCGCGGAGTGCCGGAGGAGAAGGCGAAAGGCGACAGCGTCATCGCTACGTGCTCTGACATCATCAAGCGCAGCCGACCGGCGAGCCCCGACCACAGCCTCATTCTCGAGTCCGTGCACGTCGGCGACGTCTTTGCGCTCATGGTGCGCTTCTACTTTGACAAACTCGGTGAGCCGAACAACGCGCTCAAGGTGATGGAGAGCATGCCGAAGCACGGCGCGGAGCCGCAGTTGTTTATAGAGATGGATTACATGGAAAAGGTATGCAAGGCAAATGGTAAGGCGCTCGAAAGCGTGTTCCCGAACGCGCGCTCTGGCGACGCACTAGGCGTGAAAGATGCCGCACGCAAGTCGAGCATCACTGACACCCGCCGCGCGAGCTATATTGACGATGACGTTGCGAGCAACTAGCCTGACAAGTGGAATAGAAGAACAAACAACGAGCATTTCTTTTTGTTTTCTCCTTTTATTGGTGCTGCTACTGTACGCGCGGTTGTGTGTGCCTTTGGGCCGTACTCGCAAAGGTGCCGTACATGTGTATTCATGCGCGGAAATTGCACTGGAGATGGGCCAAGCGTTCCATGACATCTTCGTATTTTTACCTCTCCTATTTTTTCCTAGAGTCTCCTCATCGATTTGAGAGAGAGAGACGTGCCTGTGTGTGTGTGTTTATGTGATTCTTTTTTTTTTTGTGCTTTCCACCGTTTGCGTTCTCCTTTACCCCAATCCCACGGTGCTCTCACTCTTCGCCTTGATTCGATGTAACAGGTGCGCCTCGTGGGATGGCGTCGTTATTCGGTGTGCCTGCCTGGCGCAGGTCATGTTTCACTTGTTCTCTTGAATTTCTCCGGCTTCTGCCATTTGCCCCTTCGATGTTCGATAATGAATAGAAAACAAACCCAGCAAGGAAAGACTTTTTAAAAGCGTCTATCACTTGGCAGTTTCAGCAAACTGACCCACAGCAGTCCTTCAATTGTGAATATTGGTTTGCTGCTGTCTCGTTGCATTTTTTAAATCTATTTCTGCAGTGGCTTCTCTTGTGAGGAAGGCACATGAAAAAATGCGTCGTCGTGCCGGTGCGGGGCCAGTGAATGCCGCGGGCACTTGGGAAAAGGGCTCTGTCTCTCCTCTTTCTTGGCTGTTGCTGCTTTCACGTGGGTGCGCTAGCAGTGCTGCAAAAGGGAAAGAAGATAGATACGTGTCTTCAAGCGTATACTCGGCGTTGCCGACCCAAATCGACTCTTTCCTCCCTTTCCTTTTTTTTTTGCTGATTTCACACATCTCTCTTTCACCACTTCATGGAGCGCAAGTGAAAATTGAAGCGGAGCCTTCTTGTCTTCTTTGGCTCTACCTTTCGTGGCGTCCACAGCCGTCTCCGTTTCCGATCTCGATGTATCGCCCCTGATCGCTTCACACGTTTTTCTTTCTTTCTCTGCCATTCATGGAGGACCCCTTACCGGCGCCACCCGCGCCGTCCGCGGACACTGCGGAAGCGGTGGCTCAGCAAAAGCTCGAAGAGGCTCCAGCGTGTGCCGACACGGGATCGGGGACAAACGAGGAGAAGCAGGCGGTGCAGAAGCAACCCCTCACGCTCCCTTTGCGCTCTTCGGTGCCACTGGGGGAGACGAACTATGCGGTTGCATCTGGCCTCGTCCCGTCCCTCGCGGAGATGAATGCGGACGAGATAATCCCCCCGATGAGCGGCGCGGCACCGCAGTTCCCCGTGCTGCACCCGCAGGGCTTTCGCATCCTCAACAACAACAGTGCCATGGAGCGCGGCATGCGAGGTTACTTTCGTCTTCCGCAGCCGCCCAATCTCGCCACACGCGAAGAGCAGCGGCGACTGCAGCGCACGTTGCGACAGGTGCAGTGCGAAGAGGCGCAGCGCAAAGCGCGCATCACCGGCAATCAAGAGGGCGTCGTGCTCGACGGGTTTCTCATTCTGGGTGCGTGCGAGGCGGATGATCCAGAGGAGGTCACCGCCGTCACGCTGCAGGCGTCCCTGCTCACGAGCAGCGTGCAAGAGGATCTTCCCTTCTTCACCGAGCTGAAGACACTCGACGTGAGCGACAATCAACTGCGCCTCGGAGATGTGCTGCCTCTCCCGCACTTGGAGACAGCCCACCTGGTCTGCAATAACATCGTCTCGTTGGCTGATGTGGCGCTGAGCGATAGCTCGTCGCTGTCTACGCTGATGGCGCTGGACCTCGCCTACAATCGCATTCCCTCACGCGACCTGCTGTACCTGGGTGCCTTCCGAGCTCTCCAACACCTGGACCTGAGCAACAACGGCCTGCGCTCGCTGCCGGCAGACTTGTCGGCTCTCTCGCAGCTCACCCACCTTGCATTGGAGTCCAACCAACTCGCCTCTGCGGATGTGTTTCACGCGTTAGGGACGCTGCCTGCGTTGATGGGGATAAACCTGGCCAACAATCGACTAGCACACGTTCCACTGCTGCGCGTCACCCCGCCACTTGGAATGCGTGACACCAACAACGAGGGCCCTGCAGACGTTGTTATGTCCTCCTTTCCGGCGATACAAACGATGACCCTCAGCGGCAACCGCTTCACCGACCTCGAAGCTTTTCTGCCGCTCGCTGCTCTGCATCGCACTCTGCGTCACATTGCAGTTGGCAACAACCCGTTTCTGCTCCGCCAACCGCAGGCGGCGGCACGGCAACTGCAGCTTGCGCTGGATGAGGCGGTCGTGGACTCGTATTTCATCGCGAAGGACCCTTTGCAGACGTCGCCGCCGCTTACGTCCACCGACGCGACCGCTACCCTCACGGACGCCAACGCCGGTACCTGGCACGGCAAAGCGTGGGAGCGGTACATCCCGCCTCGTCCCGAGGGCCCACAGAGCCCGGACGACGAGCTGGCACGGAGTCGTGCGTCTTCGCTCGAGACGGCTGCCCCGATACCGTCTGCACCGGCCAAAGGGGAGACGCCGCAACATGATGGTGCGACGTCTGCCCAGGACGGTGAGTCTTCCAACGAAGCTCCACGCGTGCCGCAAGAGGGCGACGTCGACATTGTGCACCTTTTGAGCGTCGAGGAATACGTGGCGCGCTTCCACATCACGGTGCAGTGCGGGACGCCGCCGCCGCCACCCGCAAAGCAGCCAAGGCGCTACTTTTATTCGTCCGCCTACCGCGCCTCGCAGCGGGAAGGGCAGAGCGAGAGTCCGCTGGTCACGCTGCCGCCGTACGAGGAGTTCATGGACGTTTATCGCATTGCGGGTCGGCAAAGCCACGCGTCACGGCGCAAGGGACACGCGGCAGCGTCGCGGAGAAGGGGTAAGCCAAGTGCATCGGCGCCTCCCTCCTCGCATCTGACCGCATTACCGGTGATGGCGCGCGACTCCTTCACCCTCCCCCCGGCTGCTTTCGCTGCTCCTCCTTCCGCTTTATCCGGAAAGAGGAGCAGCAATATGGACGATGTGGACGAGGATGATGATGAAGAGGACGACGATGTACCGCGGGACGAGACGCAGGAGGGCGACGATGGATTTTTCCTCACCGGTATGAACAGCGAAGGCAAGAAAGAGGGAAAGGGCCGTCGCAAGAACAGAAGCGGCAGAAAGTCGGCGGAGGAGAAAGCCACCTTGTCAGCGGAAATGCCGGCGGCAAGGAAGATGGAAGGCACCGTTGCTGACGCGCTCCCCACAGACACCCAACGTAGTACCAACGCCTTTTCTGCGAACCAGAGCTCTGTGCCACGACTTCCGCTTCCGCGATCGGTGGTGTCGCCCGCCAGCACGAACGTGCACACCGCCATGTCGGAGCTGCGTGCGATGCTGCGCAAGCCGCTGCCTTCGTTGCCGTACGACCCTGCGCGGTCACGACAAGCGCGTTGAGAAGGGTCCGTACCAGGACCTGTTCTTTATTTCACAACTTTTGCATTTTCTGGTCTGCCTCGATGCGACCCATGTATACAAACAAACCACCACTTCTTTTGTGTTTGACCCGCCACTCCGCTTTCGTACCCACTTGAATAGCAGGCCCCCCAAAGGGCAGCAGATGTACATTACAGCGTGTGGGCAAGCGGCGTTGTAGAACTTAGCGCCGCCTGTCATGCGCGCACGGCTGGCACGCTGATGACAGAGCGCGGTTTTTATATTTTTGTCCCAATGCAAAATGCCCTGTATTCTTTCCCCCCGCGGGAGAGAGCCAATGAAATCTAACGCAAGCACAGTAGAAGGAGAAAGGAAGCTACCGCTTCGTCATGCGTTCCCAAGCACGTGTTTGAGAGCATTGGCAAAGACTGTGGTGGTTGCGCTCACGTTTCAGTCCGTTTCGTATTGCCTTTGAAGTGAGAACACATGCCGGCTTTAACTCGCGATGATAGGAATACTTCTCGACGAGAGTATCGGAGTCTACCGAATCACACTTCTCCCTTCTTCTCTGTCTTTCTGGCTCTCTCACTTGTGCTTCGTATTCGCTGCCTTTTTTTTTCACGTGTCCACGCCGGCAGCGGCGCAAGCAAAACTGCCTTGCCTCGTTCTATCGATTTCGATCTCTTCACGTTGGTGGTGTGCGGTGCCGTTTGGCCCTCTCATCACTGTCTTCGCTATTGTTATGCAGGAAGCGATTTCTTCGCTCTTTTTCTTCTTCTTTGTGATAGGAGGTTGCAGATGCGTCTGTCTACGAGGGAGGTGAACGTCCAGGGGCGGTTGAGCAAGTCCCCCACACAGCTGGACTGGAATGCGCTGTCTTCCTCGGCTGACGCATGGCCGCCGCTGCTGCCGAGTTTCAGCAGGGAGACCGCCGATGCGTCGGATCGCTTTGTGCAGGGCTTCATCTGCAAGCGCATTGAATTCCGCTGCGGCCAGCTCCCCTCCACCGCGTACACGGAGTCCTTCCTGCCGCAGTGGATCACCATGGCGGAGCACCGCACCGACGTCATGGAGGACTTCTTCGCCCAACAAGGGACGCGACTGGACGAGGAGACGTTTCAGCGCGTCTTTGGCGCCTTTGAACGGCTGCAGAGCGCCTTGCGCGACGCCCGGCAGGAGCGCGGGGACGTTGACGAGCACCTCCACGACAAAAAAATCACGTTTGCGCGGCCCGTGGCGCACCGCCTCATTCGTCGCTCCCGCGACCGCTTTTCACTGCGCAGCGTCGCGGATGCTGATGACAGCATGGAGAGCGCGCGTCTGTCGTCCTCTACGCGAACGGTCGACGTGGGCGGCACGTTGCGAAGCTCGCTACAGCGGCCAAGCCTCTCGCCGATACCGCTGGACAGACCGGTGAAGGTGCCAAACGCAGCGGAGGAGGAGGAGTACACCACCGTGCTGCCTGTGGAGGAGAACCCCGACGGTGATCATTTTACCGGACGCGCCAGCGGCGTGTATTATGGCGATGTCTTCCACTCCGCCCGCAGCTCCGCCAACAGCATCGAGGACGATTCCGGCCCCTCCTTCACAGCTCCCGCTGCCTTTGTTCACATGGAGAAAGAAGAAGCAGTCGCCGAGGAGCAGAGCGCTGTCGCGACGGATAGTCGAGGATCGGAAGCGTTACGCCTTTTAGTGGAGCTGCACCGAGGTCCGACCTTGCACTCCGCCGCGTGGCGGCGCTGCTGGATTTTGTTCTTCTACTACGCGCTCCTTCCCACTCTTGCCGTCTTGTATTTCTTTGGTGGTGGCCTGAAGCCAACTCTTCTGTCGGAGCCCAAGTGACACATGTGGGCAGGACTCACTTCCTAAAAAGGGAAACAACTATGTTTCGCTCAGCTTCTCTTTGACGTGATGGAAGGATTTCTTCTGTGTGGGAAGTTCGTTCTGCAGCGTATGTTCGAAACTGTCTCTTTTTCATATCCACCACGACCTCTTTTTCTTTTTTAGATTCTTCTTAGATTTCTTTGTGTCGGTTTTGTTTTGAGTCAATTTATAGACGCTGCGTCTTGTGAGGGCCCTGATGGTGGTGTTCGTTTCTTTTTTTTCTTGAAGTATGTAACCGCTTCTTCTTCCCTCGCCTCGTTGATATGGAATCACCGCAACTGATAACGACGCCACACCTGAATGAACGTTGAAAACAGCTTTTTTTTGCTGTTGCTGAGAGATTGCTGATCGAATCGTTGGGAGGTATGGGTAGGGGGTTTATCCGGCCAATTCTTCTCCTGCTTCGCTTTGACTGTCACCTCCTCCGCTGTCCAATGTCTTGCCGGCTGACAAGAGAAAGAAAAAAAGAGGCGGTCTGCACATCGCAAAAAACGCCTTCGTAGAGTACAACGGTGTCTGGGTGTACGTGTTTGAGCGCGCCCTTTAAATGCGATTCATGTTGAGTAAACTTGTACCGCACGTGTCCGCTTTCTTCCTCTCGTCTGTGGAACTGCCTTTCTCCTTTTTTTTTTGGTTACTTGCAGCGATTTATTAAGTAAAGAAGACGGCTCTTCTAACGAAGCCGCCCATAATCACAGTAGGAAAGACATTTGTGTGAGGGACGTGAGGGCTAACCACGGTGCAGTTAAACAGCAACATCCAAGTACCGTTGCTGCGCGCAGTTAGGGATGCCTTCGCGGTCAAAAAGTGAAGGCGCGGAACGAGGCGGCGCGAAGGCGGCACCGCCAACTGCAAATCGGCAAAGCAAAGGTTTCCAGGTACTCGTGCACGGTGTGCTGGAGGGTGCGGAGTGTGTCGAAGTTGGTGCGATGTTTGCCCGCACCCAGCTTTTTTTCGGCTCCGACTGGTCCTTCCTGGAGAGCAGCGGGGGATACGGCGAGGATGTGGACGACGAGGAGGAAGGCGATATCGTGGTGCCGACCTACAGCAACGACGCGGAGGTGGTCACGCAGTTATCAGACTGCTGCAAAGGCCCCATCCCATACTTCAGCTTCACCGCCCCATTTGAGTTTGCGCTGACGAGCACGAACCCGTTCGGGTGGCCACAGCTGGTCATCACCTTTCATACGGTGGAGGGTGCGGGCGGGCACGTTGACAAGGATGGCCACGAAAGCGACAAGCAGCTGCTCGGGAGTGGCGAGTCGATCATTGGCTACGGACGGTGCTACATTCCGATGAAAAGTGGCTATTACACGAAGGACGTGCCCATGATGCAGCTGGAGAACGCGACCTCGCAGCAGGCCATTATTGGCTTGCTTACTCGCGAAAAGCCTGTGCTGCGCGATCTTTCCTATCTTTGCACGGGAGACGATCAGGTGATGCTGCGAGCGCGTCCGCTGGAAGGGTACGCGAGGGTAAACTTTTCTGTGATGGTCAACGGCATGGAGTCGTCTGGGTTTGAAGCGTAATACCCGTGACCGTGTCGTCCCTTTATTATCATTAATATCAACATCTGCGCAATGAGGCGCACTTGTTGTGATGATTTCGTTTGTCCTTGCAGGCCCTTGTGTGGCCCTTCGTTTTTCTCCTGCTGCTACATTGAGCACTACATAGAATGCACTCGACAGATAGATGGAATGGAAATAAATTGTTTTCTGATTTGGCAGTTGGCCGCTGCCCAGTTGCTTCGTATAACACATACTGCTTTCAGCAAACCTCATAGACTGATTGCGGCTTCCACCCGCTTTTTCACTCAATCAACAAAATCGAACCGATAGCCCGCACTGTAACTTACGAAAAACAACAAACGCGAAGCGTGCCTGTTGCGCTGCCTTTTCCAGCTCGATGGAAGAAAAGTCGCTTAGTGTCCCTGACGGAGCGCTCTGAGTGCGTAATCGGCGCTCCTTTTTTTGTTGGCGCCGTTTTAAAAAGAGACGAAACAATTGCACTCGCAGTTGTGAATCATCTACTGTGCGGTTCTGCGCTGTCTTCGGGCACGTTTCCATCTCCGATGTGTGCTCATTCGGATGTGACGCGCTACACCATGCTCAGTCAACCTCTCTCACGCTCTCGCTCTGCAAACACTCATTTCCATGTCCCATCTACGCCTCTTCCTCACTTTACTTTCTTTGCTGTACTGCCGCGATGCGACATAGAATGTGCGTGTAGACCTTGCTAGGAGTTCTACGTGCGCACCGTCTTTTTTCTTCTGTTCTGCTATTCACTTTCCTTTCGCCGCGACGGAGGCTGACGCCGTGAACAGCAACCAAAAGGTACAGAGAAAAACAGCACTACTCGCAGTTGCACCTCTTTGTTTTTTTCTAAACGCTTCAATTTTCGAAGGTGGACTCGCGTTTGTTCCTCTCTTCCTGTAAGCTCGCCGCACACTTGAGTTTTTGCATTTTTCGGGAGACGGTTCGTGGAAGCCGTTGGCGTTATCGACACGTTTTGTGTATAAATTAAAAAGAGGGATCTCCAGCGTTTGCAGCGCCAGAGCGGCAACGATTTTCATTTATTTGTTTCCGCACACATCGGCAACGGTCCGTCTCTCTTCCTGACTTGCTTTCGCACGTGTGTGTGTGTACGTTCTTCATCGGTCTTCCTTCGTTTCGTGGGGATCGGGACTGGCGAAAACGCGTAGAAAGAAGAGAGAAAAAAGATATACATTGTGTGTGCTTTACACGTTATTGTGGGCCGGTCACTGTTTCCAGTTTGGGCAACCTCACCAGTAACACAGCGTCATTCTTGGGCTGCAACTCACAGTCTTCATATTTTTATATCCTTCCGTTGTATCGCTCTTCCAACAAACAGGAAGCAAGCGGAAATACGCAAAAGATGAAGTGCACCAAATGCGGTCGACGCCGCACGGCTCTCGTGGCCGTTGCGGTCCTGCTCGGGGCGTTGCTCACGCAAGCCGCCATCACGTGCTACCTCGGCGTCTTCACCACTGCAGAGGGCGAGACAAACCTGTGGCAGCTGAACGCTGTGGCATCAGGCAAGTGCTCCGGCGGTGTGCTGTCCTACGCCGTCACGAACGCGCACGGCAACGTTGCCAGCTTCCCGAATGCTCATCAGGGTGTCCTGCAGTTCAGGGCGGCGAACACGGGCATGACCTCGGGTCGTCGTCAGACGCAGGTGGACGTCAGCGTGATGTGCAACGGCGTCACCGCCGTGTGCGACAACGCGCTCGTCTACTTCAAGGTGCTCCCCGGCGCGACCACCTCGACCACGACGACGACCCCCGTCCCCTCCTCCACGACGTGCGTAACGCCGATCCCCATCACCGTGCCGAACTACGTCACGCACGTGGTGCCGTCGTCTGCCTTCACGAGCAGCTGCAGCGCACCAACGCTGACGATTCAGTCGCAGACGGCTCCGAGCGGTGCCGCGACGTCACTCTTCAAGACGGAAGTGGTCGGCGGCACCTCGTCGTTGCTCTTCAACGAGGACGGCGTGAACGCCACGAGCGGCACCTACACCGCGACTGTCAGCGTGAAGTGCGGCACGTTGGCTCCGTGTGTAACGACGCAGCAGATCGTTGTCGGCACGTCGCCCACCACCACTACTACTACCACCACCAGCACCACCACTTCGACACCAAGCCCGCTGGAGGCGTGCCCGGGCGACTACGCGTACTCGTTTGTGCTGAACGCGGACGGCACCTTCACCGCGCAGACCGCAAGTCTCGCCGACCGCGCTGCCGCCTCTGGCAAGTTCTGCACGTCGGGGGGCCGCATCTCCAGCACCGTCGGTGCCGCGCGCACCGGCGTCGTGACTTCCAACCCGTCCGCCGGCACCTTCTCCTATGCCTCGAACTCGGCCGTTGCCGGTGACGCCGTGGACTCGTTCGATTTTGTGCTGACCTGCTCCGGCGAGGGGACGTCGTGCAGTGGCCGCACCGTCATCTCCATTGTGGGCCAGGACAGCGGCAAGGTGTACTACGCGATGGACGGGGCCATCACATGCCGCGGCACGTGCGACGCCGGCGCGTGGCGCTCCAGCCCCTCCTCTCCCGCGTCCTTCGACGTCAACAAGTCGGGTGTCGCGGTGACGCCGCGCAAGGACGGCCGTGCGGTGGACGGCGTCGACTTCGGCTTCACCGTGGATGGCGAGCTGCTCATACGCGCCTACACGACCATCGGCAACCTCGCTGCCCGCTTCGTCACTTTCTACCCCATGGCGGCGGCAAAGGAATCCGGCTACGTGACTTCATCGTCGGTACCGCCTGGCTCGCACGTCTCGTTTGAGCCGACGTGCCTGGACCAGCAGGTCACCACCGGCAGGGGGTCAGACATCTGGAGCTGGACGAGCACCGCCACCTTAACGGGGCACCTCAATACGCAGACCAACGCGTACAAGTCGGGCGACAACTACTACCAGAAGTTCGGCGGCAACCACCGTCAGTGCGACGTCTACCGCGAGAACCCGTGCAAGTACGCGCCGTTCATGACTCCGACGCTAAACGACGACAACAACAATGCCGAGAACAACAGGACCGCCTCGGTGCAGTGGAAGCTGTACGTGAACGACTGCGATGCCACGTGGGTCGGTAAGGCCTCCGTGGAATCGTTGCGTGCGCTGCGCCAGCCCGACGGCTCGTCGACCTTCAAGCTGGAGGAGCACGGCACGTACCTCGTCGGCACGGTCTACTCCCAGTCCGTGAAGCCGGCGGACTGGACGTCGCCGTCGTCGGGCATCGTGCACATCGAGCAAGCCTACGCCGTGCGCCTGAAGATCCACAACACCCTCGTCGTCGATGCCGCGGCGCAGCCCATCTCCGCCTCCGTCGTGCCGACAGCCTCCCAGCTCAGCATCAGCGCCGATGTGCAGTTCGCGTCTGGCAAGACGAAAGACACGGACGAGCGCCTCTTCGCCTACTCCCTGCTGCTCTATCCCGTCTTCGCTGTCAACAACACACCGGCCAACATCACGACGTTGAAGTTGAAGGTGGCCTCCGTGTCGCTGCTGCATGAGACATGGACGTCGCCGAGCCACGTGGAGTGCCCCATGTGCACCGGCTCGATGATCAGCTGCACGGGTACCGGCAACAAGTACGAAACTGACTGTGGCAGCAAGGCCCTCATGACCTTCGAGGACATCAGCGAGACATCCTCCCAGTTCGAGGACTGGGGCGGCTGGCAAGAGGCCTCCAGCATCTTCGCTAGCACGACCGTCGCTACGCAGAACGCCTTCAACGTGACCTTCGCTGCCCGCGCCAACGGAAAGGGCAGCGCGAGCGCGACGGACGCCTACCCCGTCGGTTCCTTCGCCATGGCCGTGAAGCTAAGCGACGGGCAGACCTTCCACGTTGTGGTGAACCAGACGGACTACATCAGCGAGCTGAACACGCGCTTCCTCAACACAGAGATGTGCCGCCCGAGCGGCTACTGGCCGGTGGCCGACCCGCTCGGCTCCTCCGTCCCGGTGCAGCCGTACAACTCAACGCCTCTTGCCTTCCCAGGCGGCGCTCCAGCGTCGACGGCGTCGCACGAGGACGGAGAGAAGGACCCGTCCAAGGAGAAGGCGTACCTTGGTGCACCGGAGCGTCTGACGCCGCTGGCCACGTGCGATGCGCTGCCAAATATCGAGAGCACGCACGTGCAGCTGACCTCCCTGAAGGCCAACATCACGGACGGCGACCAGGTGCGCAGCGTGTCGATGTGCGCCGTCGCGGACGAGCGCACCTTTGGGGTGACGGACTGGGTCATGTTTTCCCTCCCCAGCATCCAGGAGGAGCTCGAAAAGGTGACAGCGGAGAACATCGACAACATCATCGCGGACCGCGAGCTGACCAACGACGACGCCTACACAGTGGCGGAGCTGCAGTACCTGATGCTCTCCGTTCCCGCCGCGGAGATCGGCAGCAGCCTCCTGGCCGGTGCCGTCTCGACTGACTACATCAACATTCTTCTCGACGGCGACAACGCCCCACCGGCGGAGCGGACGGAGGAGGAGATGTGGATGCAGTCGGGCAGCGACGCCTCCTCGTTATCGACGACGAGCTACCTGCCGTGGGAAGTCTATGCGTCATCACTCAGCTACCGCCGCATCGGCCTTCGCACGAGCACCGGCAATACGAGCATCATCTCTGAGCCCTTCAACTTCGCCTTCATTCCAGGCTCGCTGCTGCATTCGTCCAGCAGCGTGCGTGTGCAGATGGCGGTGAGTGCTTCCATCAGGTTCTCCACCTACGCGCATACCGCAGCTAACGCCACGCACGCCTCGCAAGTGGTGAAGACGGCCGAACGCGACGAGGGGCTGCTGTACGTCGTGTCGCTGAGCCGCAGCATCTCGTCTGCTCTGCGCTTCGAGAGCGACACGTTCAGCCCGGTGAAGCCCACGACGGGCAGCATCGGCAAGAAGTCCGCGACGGCCATCCTGATTGTGCTGATCATCGCCATCATCTGCGTGCTCGCGGCGTCGGTATACGTCGAGGTCACGTACAAGCGCATAATCCACAACGCCAAGTACCACCCGAAACGCCCGGACAGCGCCGTCGGCATCCGCTACGGTCGCGACGGCAAGCCCAAGGAGAATCAAAAGACAGCAAAAGAGGGCAGTCGGGCGGAGGTTTCGATGCCCGCGTCTGCTTCCAAGACCCGCGCGGCTGCTGGCACCTCTGGGGATGCGGCAGAGACCAACATAAAGACGAAGTTTGGCGTCGTGCGCGGAGAGCAGACACGCATACCAGAGGCCGTGGCGGGTTCGAGCTCTGCGTCGAGCGGGCCGAGTGCGACAGCAGAGAAGAAGGAGGACACGTACAAGGTTGTGAACCCGCCCATCGGCGAAGAGCAGACGCGCGTGGCAGACGACGAAGTGGCGCAGTTCTAATCCCCCTGTGCACCAAAGGAAAAGGAAGTAGAAAACAAAAATAAAATGAATGTATGATGGCTGAGGGAGTTCGCCGCCATCACCGCTTTTTAATATCCAGTTTGCGTGTGTTCTAATTTGACTTCACAGTTGGGGGAAAAGGATAGATATTGCTTTCTACACTGACTGCTGCCTCAATAAAGGCCTGAATATTTGTTTTTGATTTTTTGATTTTTTTTTTCGCTTCCTCGCTCTCTCCTTTGCAGCGTCTCTATTGTGCGTGACTGCGGCGACAGTGAAGGAAACGTGCCAAAAGCGTGATTCTCGCTTCCCTCGCCAAACAACCACAGCGAAGCAGTTTGCCCTGTTCTCTCATGATTCGCTACCATCTGCAAAGATGCATTTGTTGTGAAGGGCAAGCAACTCACGCGATGTGTGGTAAAGTGTTAAGGTGCTGTATGGATTGTGTGCGTGTGCACGACTCTTATTGGATTGTCCGATTATCGTAATTCGCTGATATTCGACCGTAGAGAGAAAAAAAAATAGTGACGCAGGTGTTCATTGGGTTTCTTTTGTTTTGGAGGTGTGTGTGTGTGTGTATGTGCGTGTGCGTGTGTTCTCTTTCCTCAGGCGCTACCCATTTGTTTATATTTACTATCGTGACGACTCTTCTATTAAAGATATGTTGGATAAAAATGAAAAATCGAGGAAAAAGACGGACGCGCTGCCTCAGAGGAGGTGAGTGACGTAACTACTAGATTCCCTCTGCATCATCACGGCTGTTTGAGTTGCTTCAAGTGGCCAGCTGAGCTAGCACAGTACTGCGAGCTTTGTGCTCACCTGCGCTACCAACGCCTACTATTTCAGGAGTTATCGGGGACAACACACCCACGAACGAAACAAGCTCTTGCCAGTAAGGACATGGTGCCCGGAATTGGGCTATTTCAACTGGGTAGCATCAACGACGAAGTTAAGCTTTCGTGCGTTTCGCTCGTGCCGTGCTCGCGCCGTCACTTATCCGTTCCTTCTCCATTCCCTGCTGTTTCTCTTTTCGTGCTCTGCAGTTAGTGGTAAGGGTTTTTCTCCGCGCTCAACATAAAAGCGACGCGCTGATAAATATAGGAACTCCACTCCTTTTTTTTTTGTTCTGTTTCTTTTGCGTGAGTGAACGCCTTCTTGTTAGTATTGAGGTAGCACAGGAGGTACTTTTTCTGTTGCTTGGCAGAGTGCGCATTGGTGAAGTACTTTGTGGTACTGATCATCTATTCATATCCCACCACGTGCGGTTTCACTCTGTGCCAAGTACTTCCTTTTTCAGCTTGCACAAGCACAGCCCAATCCGTTGCTTTCGTTATCTTTCGTTGCCTTCTGTTTTGCCTTTCTACTGGTAGTTGGCTTAGTGGAGCCTGCCGGTGTTTACCATTTATGTACTGCCTTCTCTTGCTGATCTCATCTTGCTCTTCGCTTGCTTTTCCATTGAACTCAAATTTCTCGTGTACATACCTTTCTTTTTTGCTTTTATATATATTATAAGCGCAGGCACCCAGCTGGACTGCTATATATGGGCACGTGAGGCCACAATAGCGTTCACCGGATATCAACCACCTGTGCAGGTGCTGCATCGAATGAATTCTGGAGGTCCGTGCGTTGGAGCGCAACCGACCTCGACCTACCTGAAGTCCGTGGGACGTACACACACCGGAAAAGAAAACACATTACATTCAAGTCACCTTTTTCTTTCTTCCCGTACTATTAAATATAAATTTACCTCTCTATACATTTAAATCCACCAGCGGGTTACCGTGTTTACGCAGAGGAGAATCAGCGTGTATAGCAGCGTTCCCGCCTCCCCTCTTCTCCCTCGCAACAGTCTTTTCTTTCGTAGTCTTTTCCTTTTAGATCAATAAAACCATGGACAAGTATCAGAAGGTGAAGGTTCTGGGCAAGGGTAGCTTCGGCAGCGCCATCCTCATCAAGCGCAAAGCGGATGGACTGCTGTTTGTAGTGAAGGAGGTGTCACTGGTGAAGATGAGCAAGAAGGAGCGCGACGAGGCGCGTCACGAGTGCACGGTGCTTCAGCAGCTACATCATCCCAACATCGTCCGCTACGTCGAGCAGTTTGAAAACAAGACTAACTTGTACATCGTCATGGAGTACTGCGATGGCGGCGACCTCGCTGGAAAGGTGAAGGAGGCGCGCGGCCCCATGAAGGAGCCCACGATCCTCTACTACTTCTCCCAAATTTGCTTAGCCATCGAGTACCTTCACACGCGCCACATCCTTCATCGCGACATCAAGACGATGAACGTCTTTCTCATGAAGAACGGCGCAGTCAAATTGGGCGACTTCGGTATTTCCACCGTGCTGCGGAGCACGATGGGTATGGCGAACACCGTTTGTGGTACGCCGTATTATTTCTCCCCGGAGTTGTGCCGCAACCGCCCATACAACAACAAGAGCGATATTTGGGCTCTCGGCGTGTTGCTGTACGAATGTGCCACCAGCGGTCGCCACCCTTTTGACGGCACCAGCATGAACCAACTCATGCAGCGCATCGTCAAGGGTAACTACGCTCCGCTGTCGAGCCAATACTCGTCCGACTTTCGTAAGATCGTGGATTGGTGCCTGCAGAAGGAGCCGGCGCGGCGGCCAAGCATTAAGCAGGCCCTCGCCGTCCCGTTGATGCGCCGGTCCTTGGAGCAGCTGGAAGAGAATTTGATGCTCGCCACGCAGTGCCGCGTGCGGCTGAAGGACATCATTGACTTTGAGTCAGGCACAGATCAGACAGAGCAACCCAAGTCTCCGCAGCCGGCGCAGGTGTCGCCTCGGCCGACGGCCAATGACGGCATTTCGCCTGGCCAGGCGGCCGCGCTGGCGTTGGCGCAGCGCCCCGCTGCTCAGCCGCAATCGAACTCGCCCGCCAGGTCCCCTGCTTCCTCTCCACACAACAACGGTATTGCTGCGGTGGTGGGGCCAAAACCCTCCGCCGCTTCCCCTAGTCGAGCTTCCTACGACGTACACCGCTTCTACAGCCCGTATCAACGAAAACCCGAAGCGAACCCGATCGTGGCGGCGGAGCGTCCCACCGGAAATCGCGCTGGCGCGCAGGCGCCACCATCGCAGCCGCAACAACCACCGCACCAGCCCCCGCCTCAGCCGTCTGCGCAGATATCGCCTGGTGCGCAGTCACCGCGCAGCAACGTGAACCTCGGCAACGGCAACGGCGCCGCAGGTGGCGGTGGTGCTCAAGTCCCTTCGAATGGCGCAGCTGCAAACCTCTTTCACGACGACATGCGCCGTGTGGACGCCATCATCGCGAAATACGGCAAGAACACCGACGAGCGGGCCAAGGAGACGATTCACGCATACATGCGTCGCAAGCAGGAGGCCTACCTGAAGAAGCAAAAGGAGGAGCTCGAGGTTCGTGAGCGACGCAATGAGTTGCGCCAGCGCGAACTCCGCCGGGTGCTGGAGAACCAGCGAGCCGCCGTGTCGCCGACCAACGCCAACAACCAGCACCGCAACTCCCCCCAGTCCTCGGACCAGGCCAACGGCCACGGTGCGCGTCGCTCCCCTCCGCGCGGAGTGGGCAGCCCCCAATCCCGTGCCGAGGTGGAGAACGCTTCGCCCCGTAGTCGTTCGCCAGCGTCCTCACCGTCACATGCTGGCCCAGTCGCCGCCGCCGCAGCAGCAGCAACACCAGCAGTGGCGGGGCGGTCGCCTGTCAGCCCTAGTGCTCCTTCTGCCTTTGGCCGAGACCCTCGCCGCAACGCGGGCGGGCAACAGCAGCAGCCCCGCAGTCGTCCCACCACACCGCAGCGTCCGTACGCCCCGCCTGGCCAACGCGTCGGCAACGCAGCCGCCGTCAGTCCAAAGCAGGCAGGTGACAGCCCCGCTCGCAAGGTCGTCTATGCCGCCAACTCCCCACAGCCGGATCACATTGAGCGGCGAGATGGTGCCCGTGAAGCGCGGCCCGGGACCAGTCCAACGCAGTTGCGTCCCCAGTCGCCGTCGAGGCCATCCGGGCAATCAGCGGAGGTCGTCAATGCTGACTGGCGCTCGCTGGCCAACAACGCGAAGCCGACCAACTCGCCCTCGGGTCGCAAGAAGGCGTCGCCACCTGCGGGGATGGACGATGGCATCGGCGGACACAAGATGATACTGCAGCCCGCTCCGGCTGCTCAGGCGCGGCGCTCGCAGGACCTCCACGTGTCGCCGGCGCCTCGAGATAGCAACAACGAACTGCGGCGGCCGTCAGCCCTGGCGCCGCTGGGCAACGAAGCGCCCAACCACCGCTCCCCACGCCATGCGGGGCAGCTCGCAAGCAACGACCTGCTCGGCAGAGGCGACGGCGCCGCCTCCCCGGCGTCCCTCTCCCCGCGCGCAGCGGCGGGCGGTGGTGACCCGCGTCTGCAGCGGCCGAATCGCGTGCAGAAGGGCTACTTGAAGCCGCTGAACGAGCGCAGTGACGACCACCTGTCGCCGACGACGAGTCCTACGCCCGGCCTCAGCCCGCGGCCCGACGCCCTCCCCCTGCCGGTGAGTCACGTCCGCGGTGTCTCTCCAGCCAACTCGCCACGGGCACAGCCGAAGGCCGCGGCGAAGCCGAATGCGCACGTGCCCGTCGGTCGACGCGCCTCCCCGCCGGCGGAGTTGGTCGATATCCCGCGCAGCGTGGACATGGCGAACCCGCTGGCGCCGGCGTCTTCCGCCGCTGCAGACGACCCGGTGAGGGAGGCGCTGAAAATTCTGCGGCGCAGAGGAAAACAGACGAGCCCGTCGGCCGTGTCGAGCAACGCGGACATGAAGGACGTCCCGGCGCTGAACCTCGTCTCCTCCGAGTTGGCCGGTGGGCACCGGCAGCACAACCGCCGTCTCGTAAACGAAGGCGCTAGCTATGTGGGGATGTCGCGCGAGGCCGTGTCGCACGATGACGAGCGCTTTTTGGCGGAAGAGCAGCGGCGGCGCAAAGCGGAGGAGAACGCGGTGCCGAACACGCTGGAGGCGCTGCGCAGTTTGCGGGAGGCGAGCGATGAGGCTGCTGCGGGTGGTGCGTCGGGCAGCTCTTCAGCGGAGGCGGCCAGCCCGGTGGGCCATCTGGCCCTGCTGAAGCAGCGTCATCGCATGCATTACAACGGGGCAACAAATGCTAACGGTGCCGAGTCGGCTCCGACTTCGGCCTCGCGCGGCCCGGACGGCGCGCGGCTCTCCGCGCAGTCCGATTCTGCGGCGCGCAAGGAGAGGCGGCCCTCCACCTCTAACAGCAAACCTCCGCCGTTGGCGTCTGCGCATGTCACGGCGCTGTCGCTGGGCGACATCAACTACGCCGCACCGTACTCCGCCCCCTCCTCACGCTCTCCCAAGACCAGCAAGCCAACGACGCCAACAGCGGTCAACGCGGCAGGCGGCAGTGGCGGCAGTGCCAGCAGTGATGGAGGCGCCCCGCATCAGAGCTCGATGGACGGCTACGCGGAGATGCTGCAGCACTTGAAGGACTTGCTGCAGCGCCGCCGTGTCACACGCGGTGTCAGCGCCAGCAACGCCTCCACACCGACGTCGGGTGCGGCCTCGCCCCGACCAGACGCCGCGCGCAACTCCCCTCTCTCTCCAAGCGCGCAGAGGAGGTTGCCGCCGCTGCCACCACTCGACTCGCTGCCCTTATCGGAAGGGGACAGCCATCGGACGGACGCGGCGGCCCTCTCGCCCCCAAACTTCAATTCAACAAGGCCGCTACAACCGCTACGTCCCGTTCCCCTTGCGCTGGAAATTGTGCCCAGCAGCGACGATCAGGCGGACGACGACGACGACGACGAGGACTTCGAGGATGCCGTGCCACTGTCCCCGGTGCGCTGTGCGGAGTTGAACGACAACTACGTCCGTTTGCAGCAGCAGAAGAGAGGTGGACGGGCGGTGCCGGATGACGTGTACACGGATGACGTCGATTTAACGTCTGCCAACATGGAGGAAGAGCTGGACGGCGAGGAGGGATACACCGGGTATTATAAACTGCCCAGCCCCGAGGAGTTACTGAAGGGCGCCTGAGCAGAACGAAGTCGGCGTGGTCTTTTCACCATTTTCTTTTACAAATCCGCGGACGCTCACATGGACCGTACTATTGCATCACGTTTCTTTTGTTGTGGTTTTTTCATTTGCCTCCTTTTTCTTTTGTTTTGCAGCTGCTGCTCCTCTCTTTCAATGCATAGAGCCGGGTACATCGTCCAAAGTAATTCTCCCACTGTGCGTGTGTGCTTGTGATTGTGTGCGTGTGCGTCTGTGTGGCGTGTGCCTTGTCTACCCTGTTCCTTACACCTTTGGCTTCCAAACTCAGATGTACAGCCGTTTCTTGTTTTGTTTTCTTCTCATTGCCTTCTTGGCCAAATTCCCCTTTCCTTTGCAGCTATTGGAACCGCTGCTTCCTCCCTGTTGTTCTCTTCTCTTCCAGGCGACGTTTCTTCATCTTCGGGCGGATCTCTCGTTTTTCCTCTTCCTCGTGGACAGCGCGATACACAAACGCGTTCCGACCAAAGACGCTTTCCCACGTACATCAACAACAACAAAATAGTTGGCGTAAGCTGATTTATGCACTTTCTGAATCCGCGGCAATGGCGAACTGGTGAAAGAGAGAAGAGAAGACAAGTGATGCTGTTTACGTCTTTCTCAGCTTAATAGAGTGTTTTTGTTTTTTGATGGGGAACGCAGAAGCAGCGTGCGCGACCCAAGCCCGTTCAGATAACTTTAGCACAAGCGTATTTCGAGCATACACAAAAGTTGTCTGCCAGACCAGTGAGACCGAACTCGCACGTTGGGTATGACGTCGTGGTCACCGTTCTCTGAATTTCTTACTACTGTTTATCTTTTCTTTTGTAACGCTTCGCCGTCCTTTTGCTCCTCAACCTTTCATATCTTTTTAGTACCGCGGAGGAAACTCTCAACAGCTGTTCTCTGCACACGCTGCGACCCGTGTCAACCGCTCCTACGCATCCGTAATTATTATCGTTCCCGTTTCGAGGTTGAGGAAGCCAGCAGCAACGGCAAGAAGCAATCCAAGCTATTCTTCACTCGCCGCTCCCCAACGGAATCTTCACCGCCGATCGGCACGAGCCGCTGCCTCACACAATTTAAAAAGCGGAACCAAAAGACTTAGACAGCAACAACGTCAACGGAAAGCAGGCTTTTCGCCTCGTCGCCCGTAAAGCAGCTTAAGCACACAACGCTAAAACCACCTACGGCCTTTACGCATCTCTCTGAAGTAGTGCAAGTTTCCCTTCTTATTGCTGCGTGCTACATTTCTGCATTCATCATTCGGGGAAGGCAGCAATCTCCCCGCTTGAAGCGCGTTGCAGTGAATCACTCTATTCTTCTTCTTTTCGTGCCTCTCTGAGGTAGGGAAGCGGAGATCCAAAAGGAAAAAGGCTCTTTGACTCCTTTTTTTTGCTTTGCTGGTGACTTTGCTGTTGCACTCATAGGCTCACAATACCGCAGAGCCGCTGCGCAGCTTGAAAGCGGTGCAAAGCGACACCATTCTCTTCCACATTCCAAGACCACTATAGAACGCCAACACACTAGAGAGGAAAGCAAAGATGGCGTCTCGCTTCCGGCAGTTGTTGGTGAGCGACAGTGAGGAGGACAGCGCCGACAGGGCGGTGATCGCGCCTCGCGACGATCGAAGCAACGGCGTGCCCTCTGCCCACGCGACCCCCCCACCCACCGACATTTCGTCTCAACCTGCGCGAGCGGTGCCGCCTGCTAAACCAGCGGAAAGCGGCGTTGCCTCCGTTCGCACCGGCACCCCACGCAATGGCAGTGTGGCTTCCTCCAAGCCGGTTGTGTTGGAGTCTAGCTCTCACGCAGGGTCACGGGCTGCGGCGCACCGGTCCGGCTCGACGGATGCCACCTCGATTGACTTCGACGTAGACCAGACACCGAACCGCGGAGCTGATAGAGCCGCCTCAGCCGCCGTGGCGCTCTCCAGCTCGCAGCACAGCCTCACCTTCGACGTGCATTCGAACAGCGCCACACCATCGGTGGGCGGGGGGTTGGCGCCGGCGGTGCCCGTCCCTCGCCGCACCGGGGGCGGGTTTGTACGCCAGACGCCGGAGAATACCTCGCCGCGAGGGGCAACGGCCCCGCAAGAGGCTACGCCGAGCTTCATCGACTTGATCAATGACAGCCTGCCGCAGCAGGGCGTGGCTTCCGTCGACCAGGGCACGCCACTCGAGTCCAGCGTCGCCTCCAGCGGGAGCGGTACTCAGAAGAAAAGGACGAAGGTGGTGCGACGCAAGGTGGTGACGCGACGCCGCAGGCACGGAGACCCAAGCGATCCTGGTGAGGTGATGCGTGAGGACGGGCAGGCGATCCCCCCCGGTCGCCAGAACGGATCTTCCCGCGGCGCCGACAGCATCCAACCGCACCTGCCTCCACCGCCGTCACGAGTGTCGCCGCGGGCTCTCCGCGCCGCCGCTAGCCGCTCCGCAAGTCGTGCCAACAGCCCCGCCGAGGGCCCGCGCACCCCAGGCGGCGGCCTTCGCGTCGTCCCACCGCAGATCCCCACGAGCCGCGCCAACAGCCGCGCCGCGACGCCGCGGACGCCTCGAGTTGGCAACGTCGTCGACGTGCCCCCGCTGTCGGCCCGCTCGCAGCCCGCCGGCGCGACTGCCGCGGAGCCGCTCATCCCGCCCCGGGCGAACCGCCACAGCAGCCGCCATGCCACGCCGCGCACGCCGGCGGAGCGCGCCGCCAGCGCGGACTCTCCGATTGCGTTTGAGACGACTCCCGATACCGCCACCAGCAACACCATATATTTCCACGTTGACGACGCCAACGCGCGCACCGACGACACCATCTCCTTTGCGGTCGACGACGACGCCACCGCGCCGCGGCGGACGGCTAGCCGCGGTGCCGCCTACCCGCACCGCCACCCGCAAATCCCCTCTCCCTCCGCCCTTGTCGACAGCCCCACCTCTATGACGACTGATGAAAACGGTGAGCAGGTGATGCGGCACCGTGCCAAGGTGCAGCTGACGAAAACAGCTGACGGGCATCAGGCGTGGGTGCTCTTTAGTCCCCGCCTGGGCGAGAGCACCGCGGCGGCGCTGCAAGAGATCCCGGCGCCACCCAAGCGGCTGTCGCAGCGTGCGCAGGACATTCTGGCAGCGAAGCGGCGCGCGGTGGAGTCGGACGCAAAGAAGCGCCATGCCGAGGCCATCAAGCGCACCGCCGCCTCCGAGTCGCCGAAGAGTCCGGTATTCCTGCAGGAGGAAGACGAGGGCACCAGTCGGAGCGCCGCCGCCGCCGCTGAGAGCGAGCTCCACTTTGAGAGTGCACCGCTTTCGGAGATTAAGCCGCGGGCCCAGCGACGGGGGCCGAAGCATCGCCCTGCGGCAGCGACCCGGAGCTCGAAGCGGCTCAGCATTGCCCGCCGCACGCGGGTCCACTTGACCTTTCCGCCCACCGCCTGCTACTCGGAAGCTGCGGCCCAGCAACACGCAAAAGAGGCGCTGGCCGCCAACGACGCAGCGTGGACGCGGCACCCTTACGACGCTTTACAGAGTTGCGCCGGTGTGATGCGCGCGAGCGGCGCCGCTTCAAGCTCTTTGGACACGGAGAAAGTTGTGCGCACGCTGCAGCCGGTCCAAGTGGCACCGACGGTAGGCACGACTGGCACGTGCCGCTGTGTGGTGTACGACCGCGACCAAGACGATGCGCTACGTCAGCTCATCAGCGACAGCAGCACTCATGAGGAAGGCGTGCGCCGCTATCTGAACCTGCAGCCGATGCAGCTGGCGAACGTGGAGATGCAGAACATCGTCGACCCGCCGCTCGAGTCGCCCGCGGAGTCCGGCAACGTGTCCGAGGCGCACCAGCGGGTGACGGGCGATCAGCGCGGGATGGCCACTCTGGGAGGGCTGTGGTGCACCGCTGAGGCGCTCCGCGACGATGGCCGCCCGGCGACCCGCAAGGACGGCCCTCCCTCGCGTCGCATCCTGCGCATCTGTGGCGGCCAGGCGCTCGGCGTGCCGCTGCAACCGGAGAGCGGCACCACGCTTGACGTCCGCTGTTATGAGCTCCTCCTCTTTCCGCGCGAGTCGCTGAGCCCGTCGGCGGTGAATTACGGCTCCGAGGGCTTGACGTTGGGCCAGCTCATTGCCCCGCCCGCCTCCTCCCTCCCGCTGACGCCGCGCATCGTGGACGACCTGGTGGCGCTGAAGGAGTATAAGAAGCGCCTGCTGTCCACCAAGAACCGCCAAATCACAATTGTCAATAATGAGGACGACCGCGACACCTTCGCTGACGCCGTGGCAGCAGACACGGGCAAGGTTGGCGGCGGCCAGTACCTGACCTTGACAATGGTGACCATCAGCTCACGCCAGAAGTATACAATCGAACTGACGTTGGTGCTGCTGCCTTTCCGCTCCAACGGCATCTACGGCGGCAAGACCGTCGCAGAGGTGCCACGATTCTGTCCGACGACGGTGATGACGTATCGACGGTTGCAGGGCGTCGCATTGTCCTTCTCGACAAAGTCTGCCTTCATGTCCGCCTACAAGGCGCTGTTGTGGGCGACGGAATGCGATATCGTCGACGTGCAGAACGGCGAAGGCGAGGATGCCGCCAGCGCCGGCCTCGGCTACTCGAAGCTGCGGGTGTGCGCGACGTCGTCGCCGATGGTGCCGTGGGTGTCGTCCTTCGGCCACGCGGCCGCCGACAAGCCGCGGGAGGAGACGTACCACGGCAACTGCCTCGACTTCGCGGTGCTGACGCTGGCGGCGCCACCGGAGGCGATTCAGAAGACCGAGCCGGAGCCGCGCGATCCGTTGACGCTGGAAGACTTCGTCATGGACGACGCCGACGACGACGGCGACGACGCGGGCGACAATGGCCCACGGAGCGAGCCGAGCGGGGCGACAGGCCGGCAACCGCGGCGCAGCTCCATCTTCACGAACACCCTCGTCCCTGCTAAGAAGACCACCGACGACGCCGACGACGAGGAAGGCGCGAACGCGGCCAACGCCGACACCGTCGTTGGGCTGACGCCGTACGGTGCAATTCGCCGCGCGGTGAACCAGACGACGTCGGAGGTGTTCGACGTGCGGGTGATGCCGCGCAACCGAGGCCGCATGGCGCCAACTTGGGACGCCGCTGCGGATGTGGTGTGGAACGAGGCTGGGGGGCAGGCCGTCAAGGCCAAGCAGGAGCAACTTCTGCAACAGGACGTGGAGGCGGCCATCATGATGGAGTACGCGTCCCGCCTGCCCTTTCATTCGCGGGTGTACGGCGTCCTGGTCGATGAGCAGCGGTACTACATCTTCCAAGAGCCGTGGATCTCGGCTCTGGCGCTGGAACAATCCGTCACGGGTTCGCCCGAGCGTGACGCGGTGGAGTACAACGCGAAGCTGAAGAGCATGACGGAGTCCACGGCGGTGATGTCGCTGAAGGATTTCATGCACGCGATTCTCCGCCCTGACGACAGGGCGCGAGGGATGAAGGAGGAGGTGAGGCTGCAGCTCGCCCACGTCCTGGCCGCGCAGCTGCTGCTGCTCATTACGTCGCTTCACGGTAAGGGCATGCTTCTGGGACCGTGCCCTCCGCAGCGTCTTCTCGTTCGCGTCCAGAACGCGGACCAAGATGCTGAGAAGGAAGAGGAGCAGGAGAGCGTTGCGGACACGCCTGACGACACGAAAAAGCAGAAGCGAGCGGCGCCGAAGGTGCCGTCGAGCAACATTCAGCTGTTCGTGCCGGACCTCGGCGTGAACACGCTCGCCTGGGGCTACGAGCGGCAGCAGTGCGGCGTCCTCGAGTACCTGCCTCCCCTGTACGTGCTGGAGCAGATGCTGAGCGAGTCGATTGGCAAGAAGGAGCGTTCCTGGACGATGCACGACGACTGGTGGACGTACCTGACGCTGTGCTTCGAGCTCTTTGCCGGCGACGGCACCGCATTAGTGACGCCGAAGACGTCGCCGCCCGTCCCTACGCCGGCACCGACGCTGACAAAATTCTTTTCCCCGGTGGATATCCTGGACGTGTGGCAGGAAGTGGTCGCGAACAGCAGCGGCGGTGTCGCGGGCACGGCAGCCGAGACGGTTGGCATGCGTGTCCGGCGCTACGTGCACCAGCGCGTGCTGCGGAGCATCAGCCGGTCTTTGGACAGTTGGATATTGACCAAGGCGGAGGAGCTAGAGTACTTTGGGACCACGGCAGCCCGGCGAGGACATCGAGTAGTGCGAGCAGTGCCGCCGCCATCGGGCTCGCAGGGACGCACCATTGGCGTGTCGCTCGCCGCTGTCTACATGCAATCCGCGCGGGAGACGAGTGAGACCACCAGCGTTGCATTTCAGACCGAGGACGGCGAGGGCGGGGAGGGGGCGCCGGAGAACGTCTTAGAAGATATGCCGTGGGTGTTCCAGGTGCGCGACTTCTTCGACGCCATCTTGGACGCCGTGTTTGCGCGCAGCTTCTGCTCCGTGCACGGGCCCGCGCTGCGTCTCGTCTCGCACCCCTTCTTCCGCTGTGTCAGTCTGCCGCACATCTTCGACGGGACCTTTGTCTTCTCTGCGACGGTCTCGCAATTTGCGGCGCGGCAGCTGACCAAGTCGAAGGTGCAGACGGCGTTGCTGGCGTACCGCACACGCGCCTACCGCGGCCCGATGGCGATGCGTCCTGAGGTGCCGCTCATGATTACCGGGTCGGCCTACAACGCGCCCGGCGGATCCAACGGCGGCGCGCCTTTGCTGATGCTATCCTCTCCAGCCAACCAGGAGGAGCAGGCCACACGTGAGCAGAGCGACAACTTCGACCAGCATGGAGCGGCGACGGAGCCGATGGAAGGCCTCGTTTTCAGCCGCAAGAACTCCCTGTCGCAAGGGCTGAACGGGGTGACCTCGCCACGCTCGCAGTCGCCGGCTGCCGCGACGTGGAGTCAGCAAAAGCTGCGCGCGATGTACAACCCGGTAGAGTGGCAGTCCATCGCTGCTCTCGAGACGGAGGTGCGAGGAGCACTGAGTGCGTATGGCCCTCACGAGTCCGTCAGCGGCCACCGTGCTTCGGCCAACCGTGATCACGCCTCCCAGCCTGTCACGATCAACAATCGATCCATGCAATCGGCGGGCGCGGACACCCCTTCCGTCACTTCGTCTGGCCGTCGCCGCGACCCGCGCGAGTACGAAGAGGTCGTCGACTCTCGACCCCACGTCCGCCCCGCGCGTCGTGCCTCAAGTCGCGACTCACGCGGCAACGGTGTCTCCTCGCTGCCCGCCGAGGCCTACGACCTCTCTGGCGTCCCGTCTGCTGCCCCTCAAGAGACGTACAGCAGCCACTCGACGTACTCGCGCGACGGCTACCAACCAACGTCTGGCGAAGCGGCTGAGCGCGATGGAGGGCAGCGCAGACACCGCGACCCTCAGCAGCCCCGCCACGCGCGCCGCTACAGTCACGCTAGCGAGATTGAAAAGAGCCTCAACGAGCTCGCCGCGCACCACGCCCGGATGCGACAGAACGGCGAATCACCCCGGCATCATCACAGGGAGCGCGGCGGTGGCGGCGCCCGCGGATACGAGACGGGCCACCCGGAGCTGCCGGGACAACAACAAAAGCCGCAGGACTCCCGCCCTTCGTCGAGGCACAGCAGCCGCCACCACGAGGGCAGCGGTCATCACGCCTGGCCAGGCCAATTCTTGGACGCGGCCACGCTGCAGAAGAAGGGCCAGCCGCAGCGTCTCGCAGACTCACAGAACGTCACGGCGGATCGGCTTACACCCGGCACACCGATGCAACGCTCGCAGCGCGATGTCGGGGCGAACAGCCACCAGGGCTCCGACAATGTACGTGCCCTCCACGAGAGCAGCAGCGAGGAGTCGTACGTGTTGGTGCCCTCTGACGGCGAGGTGGGCATGGAACACGGCCACGGCTCCGCCCACCCGCCAAGCGGCATGAGCCGTGAGAGTCCGGTGCCTCGCAACCCGCGTGGGTCGCACACCGGTGAAGGTGCCTCTGCTCGCGAGAGCTACTTGGCGTTCTAATATACCTGCCCCTTTTGTTTCGTCGTATCAGTCAGCATTGATTTTGCGCCATACCTTTTTCATTGTTATTATCCTCCTTCGTTTCTCTTTCACATTCTGGGCGGTGGTGAAGCCCATTTTTTCTTCTGGGTTGTCGCGTGCACTGCAAGCTACGTCGCAGCAACTCCTCTTATATTACTATCTTCAACATCGTTGCCTTCTTTGAGTATTACGACGACGCCTCCTTCTTGTTCCTTGACGGGCGACCGTGTGGGCGTCCTCACGGTCTTCTGTGTTTCTATTACTTACTATTTATTATGATAGGACGGTCACGCTTTTCAGTATAGTGGTTGCCCTGAGCTGTAGAGACAACGAGGAATGTACACTTCAAAAGCAACGCAATATTTTTTTTTTTTGCGTAGGTCAAGAGCCGAGTTGATCGCCCGTAGAGTTCGTATTCGCTGTTCTTGTTGTTAGACAAAATGCGTTGATTTGTATGTTTCCTTTTACCACCGTTGTTTTCTCGTGGGTCTGCACGGTATTTTTAATTGACTCATTTACTTTTGTTGTTCTCTTCTTTGAGGGAACTCTCTGACTTCTCCTACTGTGCGCTGTGCAGATGCTGTGTTGGTTGCGCACACAACGCAAAACGCCAAGAAGAGAGAAACGAAGTCGTGCGACAAACTTCTGGACGACAGTTTAGACAAAAAGGAAACGACGCTGTGAGCTTCGCCGTGTTCTAGTGCTGTTTACAAACTAGCTCGTAAAGGCTTAAGCAACAGCGAAAATATCTTTCACGCAGGTGTGCATTTCTTTTGAAACGAAAACTGCGTTGGTGCTGTCGAACGCGACTTTGCTTGCGCAGGGACGTAGTCCTCATGCTGCCCGAATCTTTTTCAATTCTTTTTTTCTGTTCATCTTCAACGGATTGCCATCACTTTTCTTTTTACATCTCCTCCTCGCTATCTTTTGTTGTGTCGCAGCACTTCGTATGCGCTGATGCTGCCCGTTTGAGAGCGGGGGCGGAAATAGAGACTCATCATTTTTTAATTCCATCCCCACATTGATCGCCTCGGGTGGACCGCACAGCCCACTGCATAATACTTGGCTGTCTCGCCGGGGAAGCGTTCGGTCAGTTCGGCAGTACGCAGCGAAGAATAGAACACGATACAAGCAACATAGAAGATATCACCCTCACATACATCAAAGAACTTTTTGTTCTCTTCTTGAAAGCAACATTTAGTCAAGTACAGCAGCGATGGATATCGACTTGCGTGATCGCGGCATCTCACGGCTGTGCTTTAGTTCGGAAGAAACAAACGAGGAGGAGGCAACCGTAGCGAGCGCCGTGGCGGTGCTTCTGGCGGATCACAATCAGATTTATCACGTGAACGGACTGGATGGTGTGTTTGTGAACCTCGTGGAGCTGCGACTGTCGCACAACCAACTCGGACGCGCCAGCACTCCTTACTACCGTGTCAACCACCATATTTGTGACCGCAGTGGGGCACAGCGGAGGTGCTGCTGCGATGGCTCGGCGTCGTGGATTCGGGCCCTTCCCGCAACGCTGGAGGTATTGGACGTTGCCTACAACCACCTCCACAGCTTTTTAGAATGCACGTGCGCCTGCACAAACGGTGCGATACAGCAAACGCCTAACGTGGACCCAGCATCCGTAGACGAAGCTGAGCAACTCGTACGAGAACTGCGGCACTCCTGCCCGCTTGCCGTGCCACTGTTTTTCACTGCTGCGCGGTTTCCGCGCCTGCGGGAGCTGCACCTCTCGCACAACGCCTTCGCCGTCAGCCTCCGTGAGAGCGATGAAATGCAAAGCAGGCTGGAATCCTCTCGTGCAGCACTCATGGAGCGCAACCTCACTGTGGCTGCGAGTGAGACACTCACGCTGCTCGATCTCTCTTTCAACGAAGGAGTCGCCGCTGTCAACAGCTTTTTCCTCTCGACGCTGCGCGCTGCAGACGATGCCAACGAACGTCGTGGCGCGACCCGCCGTTCTTCGTGCACCGTGAACGTGGCCAACACCGCCGTAGACGATCTGCAAGGCATCGCAGCGATGGGTCTTTATCGTCTCTCTGCGCGGTGGTCGCTGCAGCTGCACCCGACTCCGTTATCCCACAGTGTGTTGTCCGCCTCCCCATCCGTGCTTATGGAGTTGCTGCACATGGTGGTGGGCGCGTTGGAAGACGTCCACATCGTGGCCGCGGAGTTGATGCCGAAGCTGGCGGATTTCCGCGAGAAGTCCGCGAGCGCGATCGACGGCTTCAACGCTGCTGCCACGCTGGCAGAGTTGGAGGAGCTGGTGAGAGCGGAGGTGGCACGGGAGGCGCCACACATGGCAGATGTATGCGGCAGCAGTGAACGGTGGGTGGCCGCACTGGCGTACGCCTGCCTACTGCATCAGGTGGTGCCATCGTTAGAGACGGTGGACGCTGCCCTGTCGGTGTCCAGTTGCGAGACGCTGCTGTTGACGTCGCTAACACGGCTGCTCTCGACGAACGCCCCCTCTACGCACCTTTCGTCTTTCTCCTCTTCACGGTTGCTGCCGTTGGGCGCGCCACCGCTTCACCCTCAGCGAGGGCTGCCGACGAGCGCGCCGCCGTCGCTGCGCGGGCTGGGTGCTGTGGCAAACGCCGTTGCACCGGAGCTGCGCTCGCGTGTAGTGGTGGACGACACGCGGGCAAGTGCAAATACGAAAACGCAAGAACTAGACGGCAGTTCTGCGAACCACGACGCAGCTGTGGCAAAAAACAATGAGACGCGTCCTGGGCGGTTTCAAGCAGCGTTGGCCGCGTTGCGGCCTAATCGGTCCAGCTCTGCGACGCCAGCTACTACGCGCACCTCCTCTGTTCATTCTACCGCCTCTTCCTCCGTGTTGTCCGCTTACGAGGGGAACGGATCGCAGGCGGGGGACGACAACGGCACGCGCGCCTCCCTCCAACACAGCGATGAGGACTTGTTCACGCCGTCAGGTTTAGCTGCCGAGGACAAGACCATCTACGAAGCGCTATGCCTTGAAGCGAAGGAGCTGCAAGCGGCTGTGCTAGCAAGCAATGAGCGAGGCTGCGACTTCCGCCGTCAGACCGACGCCTTACGGCAACAACTCACACAAGACCGCACCCTCGTGGCGGACCAGCTGAAGGAAATCACTCGACTCCGGCAGGAGATGGAGGTGCTGAAGCAAGACCTCGCAAAGCAGAAGCGCCGACTGGAGAAGCGGCAGAAGGAGGTGCTCTACGGCGTGACGGCCATCCAGTCGAGAGAGGCGGCCGCGCGCGAAAGCGCCGCGATGGAGCGCATCGCAGCGAGGGAGAAGGAGGTGGCGAGAAGGGAGCGGCAGCTGCGTCTGCGCGCAGCCCGGGCAGGTGCGCTGTCGGTGGAGTACCACAGCAACGGCCCCTCCGGCGAGCGCAAGAAGCTGCGCAGCGAGGTGCTCCGTGAAGCGGCAGTGCGCAAGCGACTGGCTGAGCAGGAAAACAGAGACCCCCTCGCCTACTCCCCTGCATCTTTCAAGTCCAACGCTCGCCGCTCCACTTCACGGACCTCACCGGAGCAGAAGGCGGTGGTGCCGTCCTTTGCGCAGACAGTGACAACGGACGAGGAGAGGGCGTACTTCGAGTTGTACGGCTCGCTGACGGCACCGGTGCTGCAGGAAGTGGCGGATCACTACATGGCCCAATTATCGGCGCCGCAGCAGCAACAGCTGCGGGAGGCATCCACACACCTGCCCTCTAGCGGCAGCCGGGACGCCACCGGCTCGCAGCAGCGCAGCAGAGGGTCCTCCGCTCAGCGTCGAACGTCTCCATCGTCTTCCGCCGACGGCAGCCCGCGTAGTGGCGTCGTCGCTGGCTCAAACGTTGCTGAGCTCGGTACGTCTCCTGAAGGCGGGAGGGACTTGAGCTCGCTGTCCTTATCCGAGCTGCTGGATGCGGCAGCGGCAATACGGCAGAAGCAACTTGCCCTCCAGCAGCTGCAGCAGCAATGGAAGCAGCCTCTTCAGCCACCACCAAGGTCGCCGGCCGACCACCAAAGTGAGTCACCGTTGGAGGACCTTCGAGCCACCGAGACGGCGCAGAAGTCGGTCGCTGAGGACGTTGTCGTGGTCGCCGCTTTCAGCGACAACGGCGCCCCTCTCTTCCCACCGTCCGTTGATGCAGCGGACGAAACGACGCACTCGGCGGACGCGGGTCCGACACCCCAGTGCGGGCACGGGCACTCGCCTTTTCCCTCCCCTTTGTCCCAGGGGACGCGGCCCAGCGATGCGCAGCAATTGTTTGACATGGTGCTTGCCCAACGCAGTAATTCCCAGGCAGGCGTGGGGGAAGCCAACAAGGGCGGTGAGCAGGCTGTGCCGCCGACGCGCTCTCCGTTTTCTTCCAAGCAGAACGATGGGGGTCATGACGAGGAGGACAGCACCGGCGGCACCACGGACGACACCTCCAACACTTTAAAGAGTGTGAATGCAGCACGGCCGCAGATTAACCGCGCACTGTTTTGCTGATGGGCGACGCGAAGACCTCTTTTGAAGTCTCAAAAAGAGGGAGGCGCTAGCAGGCATTCCTTTATTATTATTATTACTGTTTTTATTTTTTTCCATTTCATGACGGTACTTCTCCCGCCCAGCTTGTTTGACCGTCGCACGAGTATTTGCTGGCACTGTGAGCTCCACTGCATAGACAAGTATTAAGAAGCAAAGCATAGAAAAACTGCCTCTCCTTTTTTTATAGCTCCTTTTCCGGACAGTGGAAGCGGTGAATGAAAAGGATGTTTTTTTTTTAGATCTATTTGGTGCTGTTGCCGAACTCAAAACTTCCTCTGCGAAGAGCAGCACTTTTTTCAGCAGCACACGGCACATCCGCCACGCTGACTTCTTCTGTCGGGGCTTTTCGCGTATTGTCCTTTCATATTTCGTGTCGCAACCGAAGCAGAAACGCGGCTTCTGTCTACGCTGTTCTCCAAACACACATGCACACATACCCACAAACACGCCGTTGCACGGTTTCCAGAGCTGCGGCTCTGACACTTCCACGCTAGCAGTAAAGGGGTGATCGGACTCGGCAGCGTAGGGCTTCACTCTACCCCACGTGCGATTGCTTCCTGCCGACGTTTCACTTCTCTCCTCCTTTCGTCCCTACTCTCTCCCTTTTGCTCTCTTGCGTTGCCGCCACGGTTTGCCGTCAACAATTCGCCGGCCCTACCACACAACGACTTCCTACTGCCAACGCCACGAGACCCAACCGTCTAGTTTTTTCCCCACCTGTTATTGCGCTTCTTCTTCGCCCCTTTACCACCCCGCTGCACTCATCCATCGCTGTACCGTCGTATTTCCTTTGGCGACAGCAAAAATGTACAACAACGACCACAAGGCCACCGTCAAGAACGCCGACATGCCGGAGGACATGCAGGCGGACGCGATTGAGGTGACGCTGCAGGCGATGGAGAAGTTCAACATTGAGAAGGACATCGCCGCCTACATTAAGAAGGAGTTCGACAAGAAGTATCAGCCCACGTGGCACTGCATCGTGGGCCGCAACTTTGGCAGCTTCGTCACCCACGACACGCACTGCTTCTTGTACTTCTACCTTGGCCAGGTCGCCGTGCTGCTCTTCAAGTGCGGGTAAGCAGGAGAGAACAAGTGACAATAAGAGAAACAGCTGCCGCTGCTCCGCGCTAGGTAGCTCCCCTTTTGTGTTCTTCTTTTTGCTCTCCCCGTTGGAGTCACGTGCTGTGCATATCTGTTGAATGGAGCCGCGTTTTCATTTTCACTCGGGTCGAGTCAACTACTGACGCAGCTGCAGGGTCCTTTTTTCCTTCTCCCTTTTATCAGAGAGTTGCTGGCGACGGGGGAGGGAATGCTGGGACGAAGCTTTCCAGTTGCACCTGCATAATCTCCTTACGTCTTTCAACTCTGGGCGAACCAACTCGTCGCTAGTTGTTGTGATGGGAGCTCGACGCGGTGACATGTACTGTTAAATGCTTGAAAGTTCGCTGAGCTTGCATGCTGTGGTCTTGATATATATATATATATATATATATATATATATATATA